GAATAATTCAGGAAATTACTCACACGGAGTAACAAAGGATAGAATGAAGGAGTTTATTTCCGCCTGACTCACAGATCTCTAAACTGATCTCTGACTCCTGCCGTGTTTTCAAAATCACATGTTTGGATTATGATGTCTGTGTGAATAGTGGTAAGGCTTTGAGGGTTTGCTAGCTCAATTTGTACTTATGTTGCAAGTGAGATGGTCATTACTGCTGTGAATAATGGATCATAAAATGGTTTGCGGGAATTGAATCCTGAGATTTCAAGCTTTCTATATAGCTTGAAATCTATAGCTTCTGTATACTGCATTGCCGTATTGCTGGATGCATAAAAATGATGTTTAAAAATATGGAAGTAACCACTCCCACAGAGTTTAAGAAATATATAATTGCAATAGAATATGGTACAATTATTTTCCCCAAATGAAAGTTGAATACGTACCCTCGACGCTACCATTCAGTGACATGAGGGTACCTTTTTTTGAGATTGTGGGTCTTTTTAATCTAAAAAATGAGCTAAAAAGATAAATAGGAAAACTCTTAGTGTTCAGCTTGTGTGACTGTGTGAGAGAAAGAGGAAATCAGAGGGATAACAAATTAGACAGAATTAGAAATACTGGAAGACAGAGAAAAACATCAGAAAGAAAAAGACAATGCAAAATGAGAGAAGAGGCACAAAGTACAAATAGCTGGGTGAGAGATGGCTGAAGGAAGGCCAAGCAGACCAAGAAGAGTGAAAAGAGTGGAGAGAAGAGAGCATAAAAACCACACTGTCTTCCTTACACACACACATGCACACTCCCACTACCAGTGTACATACACTCAATCACTCCAAAAATGAGTGGCCATTCTGACCATCACACTCACTTCTTACTAATACATACACAGACAATCATGAAGACAATCAAGCTTATACAAACAGAAACCCAAAACCATAACTAATCCCAAACCTAAACCCATAGCTAGACCCAGAGCCAAAAATAACCAATCCCAGACCTAAACCCATAGCTAGACCCAGAGCCAAAAATAACCAATCCCAGACCTAAACCCATAGCTAGACCCAGAGCAAAAAACAACCAATCCCAAAACTAAACCTACAGCAAATCCAAGTTCCAAAAAATAACCAAACTCAAACCTAAACCCATAGCTAAACCTATAGACAAAACCATAACGAAACTCAAAACCTAAACCTGTAGCTAGACCCATAGCCAAAACCATAATCCCACTCAAACCTGAACCCATAAGTAAACCCATAACTAAATCCAGAGCAAAAAACACAACCAGTCCAAAACCTAAACCCACACCCATAACTAAACTATACTTCCGTTGGACTTAACTATACCCATAAACAAACCCATATATCATTTCAACTATATTGACTAAACCCATAAACCAAACACAAACTCATAACCAAACCTATGAACAACACTCAAACCCATAACCAAACACAGAAATCACAACTCATAACTTAACCCAAACACATAACTAAACCCAGAATACAAATTCAAACCTATAATCAACCCAAACCTAAACTCAAAAATTAATTATTAAATCTAAACCCAAATACATTACTAAACCCAAACCAATGAATCAAATCCAAATATAACCCATAACCAGATTAAATAAACTCAAAGCCAAACCCTTAATCTAAACCCAAACCCAAACCAAAGGCTAACTAAAAAATAATCCCAAACCAAAACTCAAAAACAAAATGTAAAGAAAAAGCCAAACACCAAACCAAACCCACAACAAAGCCCAAAACCAAGCCCATAACCAAAACTTGTAACCCAAATCCAAACCCATGCTCATGCACTATAACCAATCCAGCTAGAACAGCATAGTGCACTTCAGTAGGAACATTAATGAAACTACAGCCATGCAGGTAAGAGAGGAAAGAGCACACACATATTTCAGCATACAGTTTCAGTGAACAGTTGATCCACTGCATTGCTTCTAGAACAGAAACTTCTGTGTTTCCCTCTTATATTCTGTAAGTCATGAAACAAACAAAAAATGAACATATTGAGTGAATCGCAAAAAGCTGAGCTGAGAGTGTAAAGCCTCTTGGGAGCCCAAATTGTTAAGTATATTTAATATTTCATTCCCACCGTCCAGTGTTTATGCCTGAATATACGTGTAAAACGTAACAGGTAATAGGCTTCAAGAATAAATATGTATTTCACAGAAAGTTGTTGAAAACAAAATGCCTTTACAAGTAGGCAGCTTCATGTTCATCTTCATTAGCCACAAATACATATCAAAATTATCAAATCACTTAGGAAAAGCTTATTATTCCTTGAAAAGGAGTAAGTTGGGAATCAATTGGTTAACTCACTGATTTGGAATCAAAAAAGTAAACTAAATGTATAACACATCATGCACCAAACTGCTTTAGAACAGAACTGTCACACCCCTATCACTCACACACACACACACACACACACACATATGTCAGAGACTGGTTTCTACTTCATGCTTTGATGCTGTGCACTAATTAGCTTTGTTAAAAAAAGAAATAAAATAAAAAAAGAAATAAAAAAACATTTCACTGAGAATCTCATGCATGTCTAACTGCTCAGCACTAACAGTTCACAAGAGAAAAGTCTGTGCCTAACAAACACACATACACACACAGAATGGCAGACAGGGACTCTCCATGCTTTAAATTACAGTTATATACAGCATAACAAGAGCCATAAAACTGAACCAAGCACCAGAAAACGCTCCAATTTCCCAGCATGCACAGAGGTCAAATCTCCCAGCATGCAATGAGCTCAAAGCATGCTCACTGTGTTTATGCACCCAGATTTTCTGCCCAAAACAGTGAAAGACAGAAGAAAAAAACTGTACCATAGGAAAATCATACACATGTATAAAGGGGGGTTTTAGAAAAGTGTAACCCGATTTGATTGGGCCTAAGGACACGTTTTTGAAACAGCTAGGTCCATCATAGTTTGCGATACCCAGATTGTACCAAGCAATCCCTATTTTGCATTGAGCCAACAGGGGACACAATTTAGACCAGGGCCATGTGCATCATGAGTAATGAGATTAAAGTGCAGCTTTGTTCAATTGCTTGTTTTTTATATACACTGAAAAATAAAATATAAAGCTAAGAAATAATTAATGAAAGAAAGGAGAAAGCACATGCGTTGACTGAATGTCTGCGTGATGTTGGTATATTAGAGCTTGAGCTGTTTCTGTCTTCAGTAGGGAATTCTCTGTTTTAGTTTTGCTAAATCTAAGGTTACTGAGAATCCATCAGACCATTTAGCTAATGAGCTACTGGTATGGCAATATTTTTGGAATTATTATTTTGTGAAGAGCATGCTTCAGTAACATTAGCTAGCAAAGTAACCAACACTGCTGTTATTAGCACTGTAGTACCTCTGGATAAGTGTATCTGTATAAGTATTGTCCCAAGCTAGGAAAGGGTTTCTAAGGCTGTGATTAGAGTCCTCGGATCACCAAAGGCCATACTGGGTTCAACGAAGATCAGATTTTTCCCATAGGAAGGCATAGCCCTTGGCTAGGCTAAACTCAGTGGGTCTAATAGCTAACTAAGCATGCTCTGTAAAGCAAACTGACTCTTTGAGAAGTCAGAGCATAGCTTGTGAATAATTCCTTTGTCTGCCAATAATTGCTTTGCCAATATAGTGAACTGCCCTTCTTTTTTTCTTAGTTGTAAAGCATTTAGCTTGCTACCTAGCTAGCTAGCTTGGTAAAATAATAAACTTTCTTCACCAGATATGTATAACAGATTATTTGAAATTGTATTGAATGCAATGTAAGTTGCATCAAATAATGATTTCTGGGCTAGTTCTGCTCCTGAAGACTATATTTATGTTGATTCAATCCCTCACTGCTCCATAGGTACCTTGAGCTAATACTTTAACCCATAAGATGGCATCAGAGACTCCTCCGAGTAGAAATGCTGAGGGCAAGTTGATGAGGACATGTTAAAAACAGAACTGACATTGAGGGTAGATTTTGCAGCCATGGGAACACAGAGTTATCTTCTAGAAAACGTCAGTGAAGGAATATATGTTCCTGGGAACACAGGGCTGTTTCCAAAATTACAAAGAGGGAACATGGGACTTGGGGGAACAGAAGGCCTTGGAAATAACAGGCTATTTACTAGTAATTTCACCGAGCAAAAAAGGTCCCTGGGAATCCTGGGAAAATAAGGATGACCCCTTAGCAAGGTAGCCAGTTTGATAACCTTTAAGCTTTTTGTCCTTCTCATCTGGCAGTAATTTCTATCATACATATGTTCTATCAAACATATAAGCACAACTACTAATTTTTACTAGTCAACTAGTCTCACTTTCAAGAAAGACTAGACATCATTACCACATTAAAAAAAATCAGAGACATCAGAGTATTTTGTTAGTAGCCTGCTGATAAGGACAGGTTCTAGTGGCAGATGCTGCAGTTACAGGAGTGAGATTTAAATTGCAGAAGAGTCTGTTGCTGTATTTCAGTAAGTTTCAGCCTCAGACACTCTGCCAACATATGTATACAGACTGTCTAATGTAAAATTCATGCTAAAATCACTGCAGCTCTCAAAATTTCACCTTGCATGGACAAATAAACTGGCTCTAGCTCTACGTCTGTGGCTTTACAGGGAAACAAATGATTGATTTTCAAGCTGAACACTAGTAGCAAGAAATTACAACTACCAACAACTACTAACTACTACTACAACTACTAAAAAAAACAGATGACAAATTTGTACAGTAGGAAGTTATCGTTCTGCAGGTCAGCTGGTAGCGTGTTGAGTGACATGTGTCAAAATATGTAAATACAACAATCAATCAAGCCTGAATCACTTCTTATACTAGTTCAAGACTTACTGTCTGTTTAAAAATGTGCATATTCAAATAGCTAACGAGTATGTGTGTGTGTGTGTGTTTGTGTGTGTGTGTGTGAGAGAGAAAGAGAGAGAGTATCTGAGTATCAGCAGAATGAGACAGAAGCACACAGTAAGGATCACTACCTCGATCTTCCTCCCCTCCACCATAGTCCCGTGGAGGCGTTCTCGAGCTTTCTCTGCATCTGTATTTGACTCAAACGTCACAAACCCAAAACCCTGTGGAGATTTAACAATGACAACGGCCTGCATTAAAAGAAAATGTTAAGGCCACAGATCAGTCAGTTATCAATGTCCCACCATTTTTTCCTTTGTAGCAGCCAAGATAGGCTTTGTTTGCTTTCATTAGTTTTGCACATGAGCTACAAATTTACAAGGTAGCTAACAGTAATGATGAGGCATGTAATATACACATTGCTAATTAGTGAGGTGTGAGTATTCATTACTTGTTCGCTACATTAGCCTCAAGTCAATCTAAAGAAGCAATTTTCAGACACCAAACATGGCCTGGCTGATCGACTACATACGATTATAAATTCTTTAAAATCAGTGTTACATCATCAGTAGCATTAGCATGTTGATGTAAAACCCTTTCCATGGTGACCTGACATAAGCAAAGTTACATTCAAGAACACAGTTTAAAAAGAAAATAGCTAAATTATGCCTTAAGCCTGTCTGAGGCTGTCAGAGTCTGCTGAGTCAGCTGATATAAACTCACCTTGGATCCTCTCTCATTAAAGATGATCTCCACATCCAGGATCTTCCCAAATTGCTGTAAAAGGAATTAAGCAGGATCAGCTGTTTAGGACTACCACTGAGTCAGAACACTCAGTGTTTTTGTTCTCTAACAGACATTGCTTTAGATGCGTTATTTAAAAATGAAATACTGTAAATATTCTTGTGTTTTATTTTTTCCTTTATGTCCCAAAACCAATTCAAATTCATTGTTATATTAGCATTTTTCAACCTTGGAATTAAAGAGTCTGTTTTGATAGTGTAACTTTAGGACTGATATACATTACTGGTTTAAACACCCTCATTTTTCCAGTTTTTATTGACATTTAAGCAGCTGACAGTTAAATCCAGTGAACTCAGTGGTACAAAGGAAAGTGGTAAACTGCCAAAGGTTAAAAAATCTGAACAATAAACTGAAAACCTGAAAGTTTAGTTAGTGTCATGTGTATTTATTGTCTGGTGCGTTTATTGCCCTGATTATTTATGGTCTTGTTTATTCACTCCCTGAATGTTTATTCTCTGGAGTATTTATTGTTTATTCTGTACTCTGTTCACACTGTTGGGTATCTGCACTCTATGCTGTCCTGTGTAATGTGCTGCTGTTGTGTGTTGCATCATGGGGCCTGAAGAATGACATTTCATTTCAAAGTATACAAGCTGTATTGAGGAATGATAATAAAGACTAAACCTGAAGCTGGAAAACTGTGAGTTTGTGAAGAGTTACGTAGCTGATGCCAAACATAAAAATTTGCTAAATGATGCTGACAATTTTATTTCATCTATACGAACAGCGCAAAAAATGAGCTTCTTTTCTACTAGCGTTTTCTGTGCTATAGCTGTGCTTTGTAATGTCTGCTACCAGACGCTTCTCATACTGTGTACAGTAGCATTTAGACAGTGGCATTTAGTTTTTCTATACTTCCATCTTTTGAGTAAACAGACAAGGACCTCTGACCAGAGCACAAGACAGGCTATACACTGCCTGCTGGTGAAGTACAGAGTACAGACATGGCGTAAATATGAGAATTGTTTGAAACAAGTTAAATTTCTTAACGAAAGTTCAAATTTACTATCCATTTTTTACGATTTCAATACTATTTGAAGACTCAAAAACTTGGACTTATGCCTACCCCAAACATCTGTCGCAGGTCCGGATCCCGGAAGCGGAAAGGAATGTTAGACACATGCAGTCGCTTTGGTGTCATTTTAGACTCTGGCCCCTCAGCCCCTGTGCCACTCCCACTGCACTGAGCCCCACCCTCAACCTGAGATGAGCCGTCTGCCTGCTGGATAGAGAGAAAGTACACATCCACACACACACACACACACAGCAGGCTTAATTACAAGCCTTTAGTGTGGATAGAGGATTAGTGTCTGGATAATGCATGTGCTCATAAAGAATACGCGATAATAGAAGCTCTATTACTGCTCTTTAACTCAGATGCTGGCAAACATGATGCAGCTGTGCTACTGCTCTGGTTGTGCACAAGAAGCAATATAATAATAATAATAAGAAGAAGAAGAAGAAGAAGAAGAAGAAGAAGAGGAAGAAGAAGAGGAGAAGGAAGAAGAACTGTATGCAAGAAGCAATAATAATAATAATAATAATAATAATAATAATCATCTTTTATAGCACCTTTCATACACTGTTTCATCATATACTTTCATACAGCTCAAGATACATTTAGTTGTGGCAGCACATTCAAGAGAAATTTCTCTTGGCAGCCTGATCTAGATTCCCAAAAAATGTGCAATTATAATATGCAATTATAATATGCATGAATTATAGATTAATATGAAAAAAGCCAACCACTAATGGAAAGCTTGAATTAAAGCTGAAGGTCTACACTCTACAATCAAGCAAGCAAGCACGCAAAGTTTATTTATATAGCGCTTTTTGCAACAGGTGTTGTCACAAAGCAGCTTTACAAGGAAATCAACATTACAGAAAGAAATCCGGGTCCAAGCCCCCATGAGCAAGCCAGAGGCAACAGTGGCAAGGAAAAACTCCCTAAGAAACAGGAAGAAACCTTGAGAGAAACCAAGACTCAGAAGGGGAACCCATCCTCCTCTGGTCGACACCGGATAGTAAAACATTGTTAGTATAAAGTATTATCACATTATTAAGTATTAAAGTATAATCACATCTTGACTTCTTCATTTAAAATCTATTGTGGTGTACAGAGGCAAAAAGTTACAAAATTTAGTTATAAAATTTGTGTCATTGTCCAAATTCTTATTGACTTGACTGTATATGCCTCCAACTTTGATGCAAGAACTTTGGGAAGGCCTTTTCTTGTTCCAGCATGACTGTGCCTCTGTGCACAAGGTGAGGTCCATAAAGACATGGTTTGATGAGTTTAGTGTGGAAGAACTCAACCCCTCTGAATACCTTTGGGATAAATTTGAAAGTTGACTGCAAGCCAGGCCTTCTCCTCCAATATCAGTGCCTGACTTCACAAATGCTCTTCTGACTGAACGGGCACACATTCTCACAGACACACCCAAAATGTTGTGGAAAGCACTGTCCGAACAGTGGAGAGTGTTTTAGCCACAAAAGCGCGGGGGGGCGGGGACTCCACATTGATATACTTGTTTTTGGAATGGGATGTCCAACAAGCTCACATAGGTGTGATGGTCAAGTGTCCACATGTTTTTGGCTATATAGTGTATGCAAACTGATGAAAAAAATACACATTACCACATTACAATGTAGTAACAAATGACATTAATATATTCTTGAGGCTTGTCTATATAGTTGGTCACAGTAACCACTGAAGCTCCAATATAGCCTTGTCCTGTATGAGCTAGTGTGGGACATGGTCTCACACACACACACACACACACACACACGCACACGCACAGAGTGAATTCTCTTACAGGTGTGCTGGTGGGGGGTGTGCTGCCATTGGCTGGTGGTCTTGGCTCCACTCCTGCCGGTGCTCCAAACTCTACCCCTGACAGCGGCACAGTACTCACACCGTTCTGGGAGGAGGTCAGGCTGAACGAGGGGGGTGGGGCTACCTGCCCATCTTGTACACCTGAAGAATCCTGGGAATGAATTGGGTTAGTGTCAGATTTCTTCATGAAATATTAACACACATCTATTCACTACTGAGCCTCTGAAAACCAGATATAGTCTCACACACACCCTGTACACCTCTGAACACAGTTTATTCACAATGGATGAGTGTACGCACATGGTCAAACACGACACACACACATAACTACACAAAAGGCAGACTTATTCTTCAACTCTGGGTCTACTCTCTAAGTTTGTCACCTAAGCGAAAGAGAATTAGAAGAGTTATTGTGGGTTTGACTGGAGGCAACTGCTTATTTTAAACTTCATCATTTACGTTTATAGAGCTGCTATGATTTATAGAGCTTAATATGACTGCTCTATAAAGCTCTATAGAGAGCTTTGTACAGCCACTGCGATTTATAGAGCTTTATAGAGCTGCTGTGATTTAAGTGGCTTCACAGAGCTACTGTGCTGAATACAGCTTTACAAAGCTGCTGTGATCAATACAGCTTTATAGATCTTTGTATAGCCACTGTGATCTATAGAATTTTACAGCAGTGCTGCTCTATAAAACTCTGCAAATGATGTGCTGTGATTCATGGAGCTTTACAAATCTTTATAGAGTCACTGTGGTCTCTGAGTCTTCTAAGTAATGGGAACATATGGCTGCATCTGCCTGAGTGGACAACAACATGTAAGATCCACAACACATATTCACATTCATTCATACAGTCACTCACACACTCTTACACACACACTGACTGAACATAAGTTTAGAAAAGGACAAAACCAACCAGGAATGTGTTTTTCTCTTTCATCCCGGCTCTTCACTCTCTCATCACTCTCTTAACCCTTTCTCTGTCTCTCTCTACTCTTTCATCACCAATATCTCTCATTGTCTCTCCTCTTTTTTCCCCTCAACTCACTCTCCACTCATCCCTTCTTTCCCCAATCTTTCTTCTCTCTCCTTTCTCTCTCTCTCTCTCTCTCTCTCTCTCTCACTTCCTCATCCCTCCATCCCCCAACAGACTGTTCTTTGTTTTCTCTACACATCCGGTTTCATCTGGAACTGATTTTCCCCTTGCCCCTCGTGCCTCATGCCCCCAGGGGGGACCTTCCATACACACCCAATAAAAATGTGCACACGCACACACACACACACACACACACACACACACACACACACACACACATGCTCATACATTTAATAGGCTGGGATTTCTGCATAAAAAATGTATAACTTTATGCACAAGGCTGCAGGGACTTTATACACTCCAGTCACATGGAAACACAAAATATTCCTAAAGTCAGCCTTAACACACACCACATTCTTACACATAAACCGACACACACAAACAGAACACTTCAAAGCTGAAATTACATTGTGTACTTTTAGTCTAAAATTATTTGGGAGTGGGCAGAAAAAAGAACACTGAAGAACACTGAACAGTGGAACATTTATGTAGGGAAAATGGAGGGAAAGAGGAAAACGAGTGGGGGAGGTAAGGAGAAAAAAAGAGAAAGAATTTACCAACATCTGGAATCAATCACCTCACAGCATGGAACAAATGAGAGGGGGGAAAGGGGGTAGAGAGAGAGAGATAGAGAGAGAGTTTTACCCAGACAAAGGACAAAAAAAAGAAGAGAAAGAGAGATGCAAAACTAAGTTTCCAGAAAGAAAAGAGCAAGTAAGAGAGAATAGGGGGAATAGTAAGCAGAGAGATGAGTCACAGCAAAGGAATGTGATTTATATTTTTCCTTAAGGTGGGTGGGGGGGGTTGGGGTGGAGACAGACACACACACACACACACACACACACACACACACACACACACACACACACACACTATACCTTCTATTTCAGCAAAAGATGCTTCAGTGAGCCAAATAAACCAACGACCAAAAAGGCGAGATAAAAAACTGTGTTTGCGTGTGTAAGGGGCGCGAAGGCAGACGTTATAACAGGAGGTCAGCAGATGGTAAGGGCAGAGGAGAAAGTTCAGTGTTTTCAGAATGCAGCTAACATCTGTTCACAAGCGCGCACACACACACACACACACACACACACCTCAGTATGTGCCTGGCGTGTTCAGCGCCTATAGTATGTTTAAAGTGAGTCAAGTGGACATAGTGTGCATTCAGTGTGAATTAAAGCAATAGTTTGATTTAAACATTGAGTAGTTAACTCAAACAGACTTGCTTATGTGGCTTCTGATACTGTATGACACATTGTATCTATAAAGAAAGAAAAAAAAAGTAACTGCACCAAAGGTGTTTTCAAATTTAGCCCATTCAGTTCGATTCACAATACAGGTTTCACGATCAAGTATTCTTACAATATTTTGAACAAAATTGGATTGAACAGAACGTCTATTCTCCTTGTCATTTAAGCAACAGAACACCAGAGGGAGTGTTTTATTATAAATTTCAGGGCATGATTTGGTTGCAGGTCCGGTTTGGTTTGATGATCTATAAATCATCAAATCCATGATATTATTCATGATAACACATAAGCTCAAGTGTTCTACTATTTTACACAACAGTACTACAAAATAAATTTTAAAAGAGCAAAAAACAAAGAAGCTCTGGATATTACATCAAATGTGCTTTAATATCAGCGATTGCTTCCACCAAAAAAAGCACTGGATACACAGCGCAGTAAAGTTGGTTTTATATCTAGTTGGTTGAGAAGCGTTCTATCTGTGCTCTTACCACACACTGCAGCACGCCTAGAACGCTTCTCAACCAATCAGATTGTAAGAATATAAAACCAACTGTATCTCACTGTGCATCTGATGCTACTTTTTTGGCAGATGTTTTTTTTATAACTGTACAACTGCATCATTCCACTAAGCACCAAAGGCCAAGTAACTGTGCAGCCAACCATTAGTACATTTCTACTTTACCTCATAAAAACACACAACATTCTCCTCTCATTAAGTACATGTCCATAATTGATCAAAGCTCCATTTTGTCACTCCTGAAAGGCAGAAAAGCTACAACTAAATATGTTTCAAAAATGTCTGACATTAAATTTCACTGAACATAATTGTTTTTAAAAGAAGATCACCGTCACTTTAGTCACTAAGGGACTTCCAAACAGTGCATAACATATTTCCCATGTATTTAGCAAAATTAAGTCAAAATCACACCAAATCACTTGTAGTGGCTTCCTTTTAGCCTACTACAAACCCCAGTTAAAAGAAGCCACTTTCTCAAAACGATCTAGTTTAACTTTGACTTATTTTAGCAAAACACACAGGAAATAAAACTTTCAGATGTTTATTTCATGAGAAATCAATGACATTCGATGAGGAAAAAGTCATATATCCACTGAACGTCATTTTCTGTGTAAAAACAGAAAAATACAAATTTAGTTATCTACAAAGCAGTCGTTAATTAGCAACTGCTCCTCAGCAGAATGAGACAGTTGTTGGCACTTCTTAACCCTTAAGATTGTGCCATTAGAACAGCTGTATAAATTTTCACAATGCATGTTGTGACACTGCTAGTTTTCAGTGATCAGTTCACGATTGAAATGAAAAGGCATCCAGAATGCACTGTGATTGGAAATGATTTACAACCAATTATGCGATTTGACTATGTGATTTTGAAGCTCACTCTGAGCAACAATTAATAAAATCTTATCAGCTCTACTATTGTGCAGTTAGAAATAAAAACAAGTGGGCTAATGACAATACACTGTAAATCGATCAATATGCTGTTTAAAATACTACTTTTTGTTTAGCTTAACTTTAAGTTAGCTAGCTAATACTTAAACACTAGTTATGGAGCCTTCCATTAATATAAATGTAACCACAATCGCTAAAGTAACAGACACATCAGGGATAATTTTCAGTAGCAAAATAATGGTAGTTAGCCATCCAGTGACTCTGATCCCTTTTAATAATGAAAGAGTACTTTAAGAGAAATCAGCCAACATGTGGTGAAGACCTGACTTCAGAGGATGTAAGTGAATTATCTACTACTGTCATCATGTCTTCATCAGTATGATGTTGATTTTGCATTTGAGGCCTAAATACTGAGCCTGATCTTATTTTTGAGTCTGTGCATGTGACGTTGATATGTAAAGACGTATCACGTGACCCAAAAAATACTCACAAAATTCAACCCAACACCTCTGACTTTTAAATTATTATTTTAGCGTGTTCTTTTCCCTCTTCACTCCCCTGACGCAGTAATTCTACTGCTTTCAATTTCAACAAAAAAAACAATCTTGTGTGTTTTGGAGTCTGTGTTAACATCTCCTTTGCAGATGCACATTCATTTTTAATGCAGAGATACACTGTCACTGTGTTGAGAATGACATTATCCGAAGTGCTGCTCTCCAATATACGTATCTGTATGTGCAGTGTATGCATTTGGTGTGTTGCCAGGTGTGTCTGTGCCTGTTCAAAGTGTGTAAACAGGGCATTCTAAAGAGACTTGTGTACTAATGACATTCCATATTGCAGTGTGCACTTTGGGAGTGTCTGTATATAGACCAAAATCTGACACTTGAATGTGTGTGAGCTACCATTTGTTAAAAAAATGTAGAACATTTTGCCATAAATTACACCAGCTGGGCAAAGGTAGGAGCCCAAAACTAATCACTAACACACACATACACACACGCAGCATAGCGTAGATTGCTGTTGACACTTTGCTGATCGTGAATAAAAATGGGTTATTATAGCCAGGTCTGGTTATAATAGGCTAAAGCCATACTGCAATTGCGTACTGTCACTCTGGTGAAATGAAGACTCAAGTAAAATGTATCTTCCAAAATAAACCACTTACTGATGCAGCACCTACTGGCATACGAACTGAAGTTTGTTAGATTCTATTTTTCTCTTTTTGGGTCCTTTTGGTCTAAAATAAAATGCGAAAGCTCCAAAAGCAAAAGGTGTATTAGTGAAGCTGTCCAGAAGCTAAACTAAAAAAAAAAACAAAATGACATTAAACTTTAAAAATGTATTTTAAGTTAAATTTTTAAAAGTAATCAGAAATTAAATCACTTTATACTTGAGGAGAAGTAAACACGTAATGATTTTAAAATAGTTTAAAACAGGGGTGCCCAATTCCAGCCCTATTGATCTACAGTCCAGTAAAGTTTAGTTCCAACCTTTATCAAACACACCTGATCGAGGTTATGAAGGCCTTCAAAGGCATCTGAATATTAGAAGCAGATGTGTTGGATCTAAAGTCTGCATGGTGGTAAGTCTCCAGGACCAGGATTGAGCATCCCTGCTCTATAAAGTACAAATCTGTCAAGATCAACTGACCAAATATAACCAGTAACTACTAGAGCCCAACTGATACTTGGAAACCCAGTATGAGCAACCTCTTGTTTAACTATATGACAGTAATCCAGGCTTAATTGATGAGTCTGAACACAAAATGTTGTTGTAGTTAAAACAACAACAACAAAAATGGATACATACTTAACCTTTACCATGAGAATAAAAATCACAACATTTTTGTTTTATGAGGAGAACTAATAAAAAATAATAAAAAAAATAAATAATAAAAAATTCGGCTCTGGGGAGCTCCACTGCCAGCACTACAATATTTATATTAGTGTTTTGTATATTACTGTTAAGACTGTTTCTGCAGTCTATTTGCACTTAAGATATGTGAAAGTTGAGAACTAACTATAGTCATGGGCAGTCATGGGCTGGAGGTTAGGGAACCAGCCCTGTGACCGGAAGGTTGCTAGTTCGATCCCCTGAGCCGATAGTAAGTGACTGAAGTGCCCTTGAGCAAGACACCTAACGCCCAACTGCTCCCCTCCCCCCCAGTGTGTGTTCATTCACTAATGTGTGTGTGGTGCACAGATGGGTCAAAATGCAGAGGATTTATATGTCCTCAATATCAGCCAGGTTTTCTAATTAATCTGTTTAGTTCATGAGTGAATTCCAGTCTTGAATTCTCCATGAATGTACAGAAGTGACATCAGGTCTGTTGATCTTATTCCATGAACCCAGTAACATCAATACAGCCACAATAACAATCACTGTCATTAGATCTGATTATCAAATTCACTATAATGTTGTGAGTGGTTCTAATCATCAAGTCATTCATTCATTAGAAGCCTGTACGGAACAGGCTTCTAATGGTGCCACGCCAAGTTCTTTTTAAGTGTATTTACAACAGCGTTTTTGGAGTTTGGTTTTGTGAAGTTCTTTCAGCATTTGTGACTGCCTGTTTTAGTGCTAAATATACACAGTTCAGCTCATGGAGAGTTTAGCCATTATCTGGCAAGCTAAACTGCAGTACAGCACAGTGGCCTAATCCACTAATTAGTATTCTGCATATGGCCTGATCTTTGACCTCTGTATCCCTGCCTCATTACAGCCAAACGTCCAACAACAGTGTACAGTGGTGATAAAAAGTGTTTGCCCCTTCCTGATTTCTTATTCTTTTGCATGTTTGTCACACTTAAAGGTTTCAGATCACCAAACAAATTTAAATATTAGACAAACATAACACAAGTTAACACAAAATGCAGTTTATAAATGAAGGTCTTTATTATTAAGGGAAAAAGAAATCGAAATGGCGAAAACATGGAACAGTGGTGAACCTTCCCAGGAGTGGCCAGCCGACCAAAATTACCCCAAGAGCGCAGCAACGATTCATCCAAGAGGTCACAAAAGACCCCATAACAACATCCAAAGAACTGCGGGCCACACTTGCCTGAGTTAAGGTCAGTGTTCATGACTCCACCATAAGAAAGAGACAGTTTTGCCAGAAAACATCTTGATGATCCCCAAGACTTTTGTGAGAATACTCTGTGGACTGACGAGACAAAAGTTGAACTTTTTGGAAGGTGTATGTCTCATTACATCTGGCGTAGAAGTAACACAGCATTTCAGAAAAGGAACATCATACCAACAGTAAAATATGGTGGTGGTAGTGTGATGGTCTGGGTCTGTTTTGCTGCTTCAGGACCTGCAAGACTTGCTGTGGTAAATGGAACCATGAATTCTGCTGTCTACCAAAAAATCCTGAAGGAGAATGTCCGGCCATCTGTTCGTGACCTCAAGCTGAAGCGCACTTGGGTTCTGCAGCAGGACAATGATCCAAAACACACCAGCAAGTCCACCTCTGAATGGCTTAAGAAAAACAAAATTAAGACTTTGGAGTGGCCTAGTCAAGGTCCTGACCTGAATCCGATTGAGATGCTGTGGCATGACCTTAAAAAGGCGGTTCATGCTCGGAAACCCTCCAATGTGGCTGAATTACAACAATTCTGCAAAGATGAGTGGGCTAAAATTCCTCCACAGCACTGTAAAAGACTCAATGCCAGTTATCGCAAACGCTTGATTGCAGTTGTTGCTGCTACGGGTGGCCCAACCAGTTATTAGGTTTAGGGGGCTTTTTCACACAGGGCCCTGTAGGTTTGGATTTCTTTTTCCCTTAATAATAAAGATCTTCATTTATAAACTGCATTTTGTGTTTACTTGTGTTATCTCTGTCTAATATTTAAATTTGTTTGGTGAATTGAAACATTTAAGTGTGACAAACATGCAGAAGAATAAGAAATCAGGAAGGGGCAAACACTTTTTCACACCACTGTATTAGGTTGGTTTAATTTATTTACTTCACGATTAATATGACAGCATAAAACATTTTATCAATAACATTTGCTTTAACTACTGCTTTAACTTCCACAGTCAGTCCAGCATTCACCACTGGAGTTCTCTCCCCATCAGTCTTTCTCTCTAAGTAACGTACTTTCCCCTGTCCTGAATCTCTCTCTCTCTAGCCAGTTATTCCCCCAGCTCTGACCTCTGCGATCGATCGCTTTGATTGAACTCAGCTTCCTCAGCACTGTGTGACCCATCAGACCCATCAGCTTAACCACTGGACACACACAACCCTCTTTAACTGCTGCTTCTGTCATTCACTGACCCAAACCATGTGTAATTGGACAGATAAGAACATGAGCAGGTCTAGCTCCACATCTGTGTGTGTAAGAAGAACCAACCAATAAAAAAAAATAAAAAAAAACACAGACATTGCCAACTACACACGCTCACACACACACACACCCAAGCAGTTGTTTCTGTAGAAAACTACCACAACACTGCTCAAAATAGCTTCAATGGACTTTCCGTATAACCTGCAAGCAATAAAATGGAAGCATTTTTTAATAGATGCGATTTTTCCTTTCCAGCAGCTTGTTTGCATCAAACTGACATTTTGGCAATAAAAATGTTTTACGTTATGAAGTCACTTCCAACAAAAACTGTTGTCAACTCTCATGTATGTGAACTTGTGTCCCTCCCCTGTTTTCGCCACAACCCACTGCTGAGGAAATTTTGTTTATGTTACTATTTTATGTATTTACTATTATTATTATTATTATTATTATTATTATTATTATTATTTATCCCCCCAAGGAGCCATTACACATGAGATTATGTTCTCTGTCATACAAAATTTGTACACTTTCCATTTAGAAAGGCTGTGGTCTTTTCTGGCACTCTCCCTCTTTAAGAACTGAAAACTGGCAGCAATCTTTTTAAAAACACTCTCGTCTCCTCCTCAGCCTAGCCATGCTGTTTGTGTTTGTCGTAAAATCTGGTAATCTGTCATGACACTAAATAAATGTTTCTGCTGAAGTCGAATTAAAAAAGGTTTGCAGATATCTATAAAATACTACTGACAATTTCTGTTCCCAAAGCCCATATTGACAAATTTTTTAAGTATTAAAACATTTTTCATAAAAAATATTTGGGATGGAAATTTACCATTTGTAATTAAAACCATGCTTTTTAGCTATGCTGGCATGTTTGGTCGAGATTTTTCTTGAAGCTGAGACACATACAATGCGTTCAGCATCCGTGTTTGCTTATAATGAATAAAACTGACTGTGAATGGACTTAAAGTGCACTGCAGGTAACACACCACTGCATTACCTGTACACACACATGCACGCACACACACACACACTTCCACAGCGGTCACTCTTTCTCCTTACGTGTCCGATTTCTCCGGCTCCATCCATCCTTGGCCGTTTACACTCCGCCCCAGCCATCTCGGCCCCAGCAGCTGGTGCGTGCACAAGAGTGTGTTTATGTGTGTCTGGCTCCGGGTCACCTCTCTTCAGCCCTCGTATTGCTCCAACAGGGCTGGTTGTGTGTCCAGCAGCTGCAGGGTCAACATCCACCATCCCCCGGCTAACCGGCAGCATTACAGCAGCTACGTCCGTCGACATTAACACTGAAGGACACGGTTGAACCGTCTGTTTATAACAAAAGATAAACTTCACTGATACCAAATGTAAGATAAGTATAGCATACAGGCAAAGAATAAAATACATGTACAGTCTCAAGTACATATAAACATTTATATCTATACACTGAGTTAACATATATAAGTATGTGTGTATAAAGATATAACAATTAAGATAAAATAATGAATATTACATTTGTAATTATGATATCACTATGTTTATCCCTAACCCTAAATCTATTTAACCCCCTAAACCTAGGTTTATGTAATCCCTAACCCTGTGTCTATTTTATCTTCAAATCTGGGACTATTTTACCAGAGCCCTGGGTTTATTTTACCCCTAATCCCAAGACGGTTTTCCTCTAACTCAATTATTTTAACTTAATCCTGATTTTATTGTACCTTAACTCTGGGTCTATTTTACCCCTAACTATGGGTTTAGTTTACTCATAAACCTGGGTCCATTTTACCTCTAATTCTGGGTTTATGTGTGTCCATACGCCCTGACTCAGCATGCCATAGTGTGGTTAACCTTAGCCTAACCTGCTCTCTCCTAACACCAGCCTGACTCCTGATTCTGTTGTCCCTAATGTCTGTTTAGTTTAGCGTTCAGCACATTCCCCTCACATCCCTTATACTATCATATGGGTCAAATATCCCTTAAAACCCTCCTACCCCTGAACCACGGCCACTGCAACGGCCGAAATACGAGGAATAAAACGAGAAGGCAAAAACGACGCATCTTAAACCAGATTAGAGGGCTTTAGGCCTATGGAGTTAATGAGCGATCAGAAGCCTGAGCCTAATTACAGGTGGACTTCAATGTCTTTAGTTCATGTCTAAAAAAACAAAACGGTGCCCTGAACAAAGCAGAAAAAAGCTCAAGGGCGATGAGAGACAGAAATCTACAGAGCATTTAGGGGATCCAAACGTTCAGGTTTAGCGGAGGATATACAAGATACAGCAGCATCATTATCATTTATTTGTACCTCACACGTTCAGGCCTTGTCTTCTGCGTCTTTTTTCTGTCCCTCTTTGTGGATGTTATTTCCCTGCAGTAAAACCCTGCAATGCTAACAAGGCTCCTGTTATTCTTTTAACACTGGGATTCTGATCAAAAGTTGAGCAGTTAAAAAAAAGATCACAAAAGAACACATCGCATACCTGCGTTAGCCTCTCCCAGCGGTAAAACAGTAAAATCCCATGCTGTAATCCCGCTGTGTGGACGTGTTTAAATCGGAGAATAAAGGCAGTCCGCTTGTCTCCGGCTAATTAGCTCCATTCCCCCTTTGCTGCTGCTGCAGCTGAAAACTGCGCTGGATCCTCGCAATATTCGCTCTTTTACGTACATTCAGTGATTTGGGTGCATTAAGTGTGTTTGAAAGTGCTTTACTTGTTTTATTGGTTGATCCGTTTGTCTCTTTATTTCTGCAGTGTGAGTGAAACGAGCCTAGCAGCCCAGAGACTCTAAACATACACTCCTCCTCCTTCACCATGACCCTCCTCTCCCCTCCTTTTTCTCTCTCTCCTTCTCCTCCTCCTGCTCTCTGTCCTCTGAGCTGTTGAGTTTGTGTCTCCATCACTGCCCTCATTATAGGTCAGAAAGACTGAGGTGAGAGTAACAGACTATCTGTGTTATACAGTCTGTTTTTCTCTCAGGCTGTGTGTCGTTTGTTCCCACTACCAGTCTTTCTCCACACACTTAGTGTCAGCGAATAATGATCAGTTAATTCATCTAAAATGTGCCATTTGTTTTTTCTGCTTCACACTGTAAACTCAGGATAGGCTGTGAAAGAGGAGGGGCTTTAAAACAGACCAGGACAGGTTAGTGTTGAGGGGTGGGGCTTTAATACAGATCGGGAGGGGTTAATATTCGGGGCGGGGTGCATTAATATAGATCAGGAGGGGTTAATGTTGAAGGGAGGGGCTTTAAAATGGACCAACAGGGGTTAATGTTCAGGAGGATGGGCTTTAATACAGATCAGGAGGGGTTAATGTTAAAGCAGGAGGGGCTTTGATACAGATAAGGAAAGGTCATTGTTGAGGGGTGGCGCTCTGATGCAGAGTAAATGGGGATTTGATGCTGAATAAGAGCAATAAAAGGGCTCTCATACAGAAAGAGAGGGGTTTAATATATAGTGGGAGGAGTCAGGTGCAGAGCACGCTGGGGTTTAATACATAACGAGAGTGGCTTTGATGTAGAAAGGGAGGGAATTCAATATAAAGTAGGAGACATAATTCAGAATAGGTAGGGCTTTATTATAGAATGGAATTTCATTTAAATAATTCAAGGTCCACAGAAACAATTGATAGACAGGGCCAACCAAAAAACGCTCCATACCTCATTTAAAGGGGAATTCCACCAATTTTTCAAAATTAAGAAAACTAAATCACTAAATCACTTCAGCATGTTTTGATGTGATATGTGGAAATTTTGAAAATTTCCGGAATTTCCAGAAAAGGCGGAATTCCTATATAACGCATTAAATATCCTGCTGTTTTCCTCTGGTGTCCGCACAACTTCTGGTGGCGCTAGAGTGAAAACACAGAGGAAGTCTTGACTTAAAGGGGAATTCCACCCATTCTTTAAAATATTTTGCATAATTTAGTAGTTGATTGTGTTAAATTACCATGATGTATGGACCAATAAAATGGACCAAAATTAGAAAATTTGTGGTTACATTGACTTCCATTGCAAATTTGTCTACAACACAAGTATATCCATTTTATTTGTTATCTAAACCTACACTGAGTTTTATATGTAATGTTGATGATGGCAAAATGGTAATGGTAAAACGAGAAATACAAAGCCTTGCATGTACCTCTCTGGATTTAAAAAACATACTTTGAAGAACAATACTTTATCTCAAAACTATCATTAAAAAAGTGTCTCATACATCAGACTTTCAGGAATTATGTGTATTCATAATGTTATGTCTGGTTCCTATCCTCACCACTGTAAACAATTCTGTGAACGACTCTGTAAGTTTCTCAAGTATGGAGCATTTCACATCATACTTTCACTTCAGCATCAGCAAAGTGGCATGCTGCAGTGTTGTCCAATCTGAATCAGCCCCAGCCAGTTCACAATAATAATATCCTTTCTGATTGCCTCATCCTGAATACTAGTGTACCTCAGGGCTGTGTTTTGCTTCATTTGTTGTTCTTCATGTACACAAATGAGGTGCAAAGTAACAGCAGTGATCTCTGTCTTATTAAGTATGCAGGATGTAGTCCTGTTTACTGCCGGCACATCAACAGTCTTTTCTCCTGGTTTGAAGACAGCGTCCTGGACCTTAATGTCACCAAGACGAGAGAGCTGTGCATAGCAGGCAAAATAAAAGAGGGCAGGTCAGGTCCTGCACACAAGTCAATCAGCATGAAGCATATAGAAGTGGAATAAGTCACTCACTTCAAATATCTAGGAACAGATCACCTTTCAGGATAATGTGAATTACACTTGTAAGAAAGCAAGGCAACATCTCGTTCATCTCAGGAAATGAAAGGGCTTCAATACCAGTAATCGCACCATGGTAAATTCTCCATTTTTGTCATATATTTTTTCTTTTTTTACTATTTGAAAACTGCAGTTACATTGCCTTAAATTGCTATGATGTATGGACAAATAAAAATGGACCATAATTGAGAGTGTCCTGATATTTCATATTGCATCATGGTATGTTAACCTCTCAATCAAACAGAAAAATTCAAAAGAGAAAACTGTTGTGGGTCATAAACCACACCAGTAAGATCACAGAAGATAAACAACCCAACTTGAAAGAGAGCTCCACCAATTTTTCCAAAATTTCTGTATAATTAAATTGCTAAGAAGTGATCAAACTCATTCAGAGTGGTTTGATGAATTGCTTATTTGGTGCAATGCTTAATTGTATAGAAACATACCAAGTCAGCATTGTTCGCAGTGGTGAACCAGACGTCTGAAGTGTTTAATGCCTCTAAAAGCTCCCTCACAGAAAGTTATCACATGAAATGTTTCCAAACTGTTGCCTGATGGCTGACACACTGTTTTATGATAGTTTGGAGATACAATTTTGACCTAAAACATAAGTTACTCAGGGCTGAGAGGCACATGCAGGGAACAGGCAAAATAATCCACCAAAAAAATTTTCATTAGTTGAAAGAATTCTTAATAAGCCATGGTTGAAGTCCTAATAAATGAATTAATGAAGAAAGCATGTTCCTCTACTGTACACCTATTTATTCACCAATACATATCACTATATTTAAAATAAAAATGAGCTACTTAACATCAAAATGTGCAGAAATATTGTACATTAATCGAGAAGTGTCTGTCTCATGAAGCAGGATTTATGGTGTAGCCATCAAACTTTAAGCTTAGTTTGATCTATCATCACCTTAACAATTAATACTGCACCACAGCAATTAATACCTGAGCTGCTCCAGGGCAGTTTAAGTTTGGGATTTTGGATCATAACTAGCATAATCATAATCATATGCTCTGATTTCAGCATAATCAGAGCAAGCTTCCGACCAATCAGGAGGTGAAACAGTCACATTTTTTCTTCATGATCTTTGTGTGTCAGTCACGTAAAGAATATTACTTTTTAGCATAGGAAGCAAATCTTATTAGGTACAAGGACAAGCACACCTTAAGTATCTAAACCAGGATTAATCACAGCCTAAGTATTTAGACCTGGATTAAAATGGAAAGTTGTTAACTGCCTTTATGAAACAATGACCAGAACAGACTCACTCACACTCATACACAGAGAAACACGAGGACTTAACATTCTCCTGGGTATTGTTGACATTGTATTTTAATGTAGCTTGTAAATCTTCGTTCTCTGTTTAGACGTTGTGTTAGCAACACGCTCGCGCTTCTGTGCAATGTAATGATCGTTTTCGAGCGTTTGACATCTAATTTATGAGGTGTTATCGCCCCATATTGGGCTGGCACGCTCAAAAACGCTTTCGCTGTTTTTTCTCATAAAACCGACAAAAACTCTGTCGTGGCACAGCGTGCACTGACGTCATCAATAGATCCATATACAAAGGTACATATTTACTCTAGGTGCATGTTTACTCTTGGTTCAAATTTATTGTAGACCCATGTTTACTTAATGTCCATGTTTATTTTGCTTTTATTTTAGTCGTTTTTTCATTGTATTTTGCTTGTGTGCCAACCTATCTCAATCTTCATTTTATGTACCTTAAATATATTGTTACTCATTTAAAACCTGTTTAAACAGACTAATACTAATATAATAAAATTGCTCCATTACTTTCTGGCCCTACCTGCCCGTTTCCACGTGACCATATCACTGGACAAGTGAGGGACCCAGCCTTCCCTGTGGGGAAGGTGAACATGCTCCATGCTGAAGCTCCTCGTTTACTCATAGTGAATCAAGTAACACAGGCATAGGCAGCCTTTAGTGGATTCTTCACTCTTGGCATGGGTGGCACAGTCAATCAGAGTGAAATTATATCAAATCTGGCTGTAATTCCTGAGCTCATGTCGGGGCAAGTTGCTCTCTCCATATTTCCCAGCACTGTGGCCTTAGATAACGTTTCTATCTCCTGTGCAGTACATGCAGGCACGGTAACTCAAACCTAACTGTGGACGACATTTTCAGGTAACCACGTTTCAGTAGTAACAATTTTAGCTAATATGTGCATATAATTCAAAAGAAAAAGTTAGTTACATTCATTTTTATCTTATTACTATTGTGACAAATTTCTTGTTAATATATGTGTGTATGTTTATTTATTTATTTATTCATTTATTTAAATGTGGGAGCACAGTTTAAACTTGGACCATGAATATGGTTAGAATGGACCATATTCAAAATTATAATCAAGAATAACATTAAGATTTTATATTATTTATTTTGCAGTTGCTTTTTACAACTACTAATTGTACGTCACTGATGAATATTATAAGTAGCAGTAGTTTTATTTGTTTGTTTATTCTTTGTTTTTTTTATCCTTTGGTGGGTTTAGCTGTAGAGACTTCTACACTTGCATAAGTTAGAAATTAGAAATTCGTTCTAATAGCTAATAGCTTTCGTTCTTTATGTGGCTTTCGTTTCCACAGCTCCCGACCCCGTAGGTTTCTCATTTACTTCTGAAAAATGGATACATGTTTGGTTTCGATTCTGCTGCAACGCAACCAAGCTGCTCAGAGCGGAGGTCTCAGTTACAGCTGAGCCCTTGACCAATAAGAGCGCGCGTTTGACAGAGGGGGGCGGGGCCTGCAGAATGTAGCGAAGGGCAGTAGAACCGCAACACCTGACAGTCCTAAGGAACACGTAGAGAGACAGTGGAGCTGTAACATTAAAGGAGCAACCGTTTAACGCAGTGAAGTCCATCAGTGCGGTAAGTCCTGCTCAAAACTGGACAGTTTGTTTATGTGGTAGTAAGTGAGCTGCACCATCAGCCCTACTCTTGCTCCTATGGAGTTTTTCTTTGCCACTGTCGCCATTGGTTTGCTCATGGGCGCTCGGACCTTGATTTTTTTTTTCTGCAAAGCTGCTTTGTGACAGCGCCTGTTGTAAAAAGCGGTATATAAATAAACTTTGACTTGACTTAATTTTATGCCAAAAGTTTTAAATACAGAAATCTACAAGCAAAATATTAAGAAAATATTAAGTATCAAAATGTGTAGAATATTTTGCAAATACAAATAATGAGAGAAAAATCAAACTTTATTTTTAAAAAGAGTACCACTCATTTTCTCTCATTCTGATATAAATTTTCTACTCATTTTGCCAGTTTTTGCTATATTTTTTCTGTTTGCATATTTTGTTGATATATTTTTTACTTCTGAAATTTGGCACTTTTTAACAGCTGGCGGGTCTTAGAAAAGGGTGTTCACTTGTACTCTCCATTTGTCAACTGGTTTGGAGTGGCAGGTCTTCTGAACATATAGGCACGTCCATTCTTCTATATAAATATAAACACTTGAAACTGTGACTTTGCTTAAATGCTCCATATTAACTCATGCACTGTGGACTGGTGCGGGAGCACCCTCTAGTCTTTAGCAAACCCGAAAGTTACTGAGTGGCAATTTCCTCTCTACAAATTCTCTGGGTGTGCCACCTTTCGGATTTGTGGTTGTTAGCAGTGTCAGCTAAAGGGCTAACAAGGCAAGCTTTGCAGGTGTTTAAACCAGTGTTTTTTTAACCTGCTTCTGGCGAACTACCCCCTAGCTGGTTTTAAGGTAAGAAATAGTTGAAACCCGTCGGGGGGTTCCAGCTCATTAAGGTCTCAGTAATCAGTTTATGAGATGGATCAGGTGTGATGGGGCAGGAAATGGTTGAATCTGCAGTGCTGTGAGGCAAAGAAAACAACATTAAGATAGCTCTGGCACTAACACAGTGAAGTGTGGAAAATAATGCTATTGCTGCCAGCCAATGAGGTACTGCTGCCTTGAGATAATTGATAGACAGTCATGTTTCATCATTACAAAAGGGGAGAAAAGTTGACATATATAGTTGGTCATTACATTCTGGGTGGTAAGAATTATGTCTTCTTTTCCTGTTTTTATCCACAGAATCTGTTTGTGTCAGTCACTGAAACTGCCTTTCTGTTTCAGCCAGCCAGTTTACAGAATGCTGCTTCCCATTAATATTGAACTAACATTAGATATTTAAGTAGTGTAGTTCCGGTATGGGTCACATAGTTAGCCCTGGATGACACTACTTGGCTAGTTAGTGTTATTAGCTACAAATGCAAAAAAGGTACAGTTACGTTCGACAACAAGTTTATGTTCTTCACTGTCCAAAATAACAGTTATGTCGTTTTACACGTGCAACACAGGACCATAAAAGTGTTTCATTAATAACTTAGGAATGTGATAAACATTGCTCATAATGTTTGACATGCCAGTCCGCAAGGCAACACTCAGTACGATGTATTCCACCATGTTGGGGGCATTGAGCAGATGTGGCTACGTGTCAGAAAATCTGTTGACCACTAGACCATGCAGGCCTCTAAAATCTGGAGCAAAAGAACGATTTCAGAAGCAAAGGAGAGATTCCAGAATAAAGAAAGGTATCAGTAAAATCAGAATATAGAAAAAAATGAAAGCAAACATGAAAACGAATAATACATTCGTATTTAAATATTCAAAAATGGGTAGTAATCTTTTTAAAAAAATATGCATTATTTATCTCTCATTTGTATTTGCAATGTATTTTGGACATTTTGATACTTAACATTTTGCTTGTGGATTTACTTATTTTATTTGAAACTTTTGCCACAAAAAGTTGAATGGAGATAAATGACTAAAAACAAACAATTGAACTTCTTTCTAACCATTTGTGTGGGATCCTTCCTTTAATTTTGGAAAGTAGAAAGATGTTTTCTATTACAAAATCAAAGGTCTCTTTTCCACCATTAAGTCAAATGGTTCTCAGCTGACCCCCAGGAATAGAATAAAAATATTACTATTTGTTTGATTAAGAGACCCTTATTAGTCCCACAATGGGGAAAATTTCACCTCCACATTTTAACTCATCCATGCAGTGAAACACCACATGCACACTAGTGAACACACACTCTAGGGGGCAGTGAGCACACTTGCCCAGAGCAGTGGGCAGCCCTATCCACAGCACCCGGGGAGCAGTTGGGGGTTAGGTGCCTTGCTCAAGGGCACTTCAGTCAAGTACTGTCGGCTCAGGGGATCGAACTGGTGACCTTCTGGATACAAGGCTGGTTCCAGCCCATGACTGCCCCAACGCAGGCCGTAGGAATCATCGTTTGAGCTGGCAGTGTTTTCAAGAAATTATTAAACATTATATTTGGACGTTGATGTGGGGTGGAGTGGCGTCACTTATTTAACATAAATTTTTTAGCCTATAACTTTAGAAATACACCAGCACAAACACTTCTTTTAACAGCAAAAATCAGCACTAATTAATGAGACCGTTTTGGCGTGATTTGGGCGTTGATGGGGGGCTAAGTGATGTCACTCATTGAAACTTCATAGCTTTCTATCCTGAGAGTTAAAATAGCACAAACGTTTCTTTTAACAGCACAAACCAGCACAAAAGAACGAGACAATTTATGTGCGGTTTAGACGTTGATGGGGGGGCTGAGTGATGTCACAGGTAATAAAATGTAATAATTTCCTGAAAACTCTGCCAGCACAAGCAATGATTCCTATGGGACAAACCAGCACAAATGCAGCACAAACAAATAAGAGTATGTTTATTCCATTTCTGACCACATGGGGAGCCAGCTTCACGGAGGTGTTCTCAAGGCCATTCTGCGCTGGTGCAGACTGGTGTGACACTGGTTACAGTTTCTTTTTTCATCTGTTGTGCCGCTAAAGCAAAACCAGGAAATATTGAACAAATCTACACAAACTGCACTGTACACTCATGTTCGCTTAGCCTAAAACTGATTGGTTATTTGCACGTCTGTACGTCTAAAGTGCACCAAATTACACATGTAAGTGCTTGTTTACTGGTCAGAAATTTTGCAGGTATTCAAATGTTCTGTTACTCTCACATTTGCCACCATGAAAATAGAAAAATAGAAAACAGAGATGCTTAAGCTCCATGTGTATCACTATCAAAGCAATAATAATAATAAACCTTAGTTGATGTTACTTTATGATTAGTTTGTCAATTCAAATTTAACCAATACAATACTATTCACAATCGATGTGCCAAAAATCAAAAGTATTTTATTGCTCTTCTGCTGTTATTAACAGCAGCTCCTGCTGCAGTATCAATATGAGTGTCTGCAAGGTAGGGCTGAACAATTAATTGTTTTTTAATTGGAATCGTGATTTTAATGGATGCAATTTTCGAATCACAGGACCTATGATTTGAATTAGCCAATAGCCTACAAGTTTTACAAAAGAAAAATCCACCCAATAAAAAATGTGTGGACTTCCTGCTGATGACCAGTCTGGAGCCGCCAGTCATGCATATGCCGTGCATGACAAAGAACAACAATTTATCACTAGAACAGTGCATTTCCTGAAAAAAAAAGCAGGGTGAGTGTGCAGCTCATGCAATTTGAGAATGGTTAGTAAGGTGTTGCCAGGCAGTTGTTACGGTATTTTATATGGTTGCTAGGATGTTGATACGTAGTGGCTGTGGAATTCCAGGTGGTTGCTGAGGTTTTGCTAGGTGGTTGCTGTAGTATCCCAGGTGGTTGCTATGATATCACAGGTGGTTGCTAAGGTGTTGCAGGGTGGTTACTGTGGTATCCTAGGTGGTTGCTATGGTGTTGCTAGGCATTTGGTATGGTATTCCAGGTGGTTGCCAGGCTGATGCTATGGTATGCCAGGTGGTTGCTAAGGTGTTGCTAGGTGGTTGCCGTGGTATCTGAGGTAGTTGCTATGGTATTGCTTGTCTGTGGTATCCCAGGTGGTTGCTATGGCGTTGCTAGGAGGTTGCTATGGTATCCAAGGTGGTTGCTATGGTGTTCCTAGGCATTTGGCATGGTATTCCCAGTGGTTGCTAGGCGGTTGCTAAGATGTTGCTATGGTATGCCAAGTGGTTGCTAAGGAGTTGCTAGGTGATTGCTACGGTATCACAGGTAGTTGCTAAGGTGTTGCTAGGTGGTTGCTATAGTATCCAAGGTGGTTGCTAGTGTGTTGCTAGGAGGTTGTTATGGTATCCAGGGTGGTTGCTAAGGTGTTGCTAGGTGGTTGTTATGGTATCCCATGTGGTTGCTAAGGTGTTGCAAGGTGGTTCCTATGGTATCCCAGGTGGTTGCTCTGGTGTTGCTAGGCATTTGGTATGGTATCCCAGGTGGTTGCTAGGTGATTGCTATGTTATTCCTGGTGGTCGCTAAGGTGTTGCTAGGTGGTTGAAACGGTATCCGGGGTGGTTACTAAGGTGTTGCTAGGCGGTTGCTATGGTATCTAAGGTGGGTAGCTACGTGTTGTTGAAAATGAATGGGAGTCTATGAGAGGAAGGAGAGACGAAAAAACGACACATAGAGGCGTGCAGGTCAGTGTGGCTATGAAGTGGAGTTTAAGGACCTGCCCTGACTGAGTACAGGCAGTTTGGTGGCTGTTGGGCCAAGAAATAGGTGGACTTGTGTGGGGGTCAAAAATGAATGGGAGTCTTTAAGAGAAACGAGGGATGAGAAAAAAAAAAGACAAACAGATGAGTGTGGAACAACACTGAATTTGTGCTTGGGGGCCTGCCCTGAGATAGTATATGCGAAACGGAATATTTTGGTTGAGCAGAAGTACAGTAGAAGGATATACAATTTTTTACCCCTTTCATTCCTATTGGAAAAAAATTAGGAATTTAATGAAGATTGTATGAAAACTGCACGTCGGATCAAAAAGCTGTATACAAGCACACCATTTCCGGTTAGTCTGAACATCCTGGAGTTGGAACGGTGTCAAAATCTCAGAAACTGCGGGACGAGTTAGCGGACAGACCTGTCCAGGGTGTCCTGCCTTCTGCCGAAGGACCACTGGGATAGGTGTGTGTGTGTGTGTGTGTGTGTGTGTGTGTGTGTGAGAGAGAGAGAGAGAGAGTTTCCAGACAAAAAATCCGGCAGGAAAAAGAAGTAGAACATAAATCGGATAGCAATAGTGTTGCACATTGCAAACTAACAAACAGCTTGGCACTAGATGTCAGGGAAAAGATGTGCGCTTCATCTAAGCAAGCGAGTTGCTACCAAAGAAAAACAGCACATCCTGTGTGTGGGAGTTTTTTTGTTTTTAGGAAAACTAACATGTCAAAAATAGGTACTGTGCAAACCATGTCGAGTATTGGTGCTAACCTCACGAGGCAACACCGCAAACCTCTATCAACATTTGAAGAATCATCACAGACATCTCTATGATAAGTGCTTATCTAAAAAGTCCAGCCATGAACCCCGACCTCAGTCACAATTTCCTAACGTGACGGCCAGGCAAACCTCCATTACACAGATGTTCAAAAGCATCATGCCATATTCAAAAAGCTCGCAAAGGCACGGTGAGATAACAGACGCTATTGCAAAGTGCTTTGCTAAAGACATGGTGCCGATTTACAGTGTCTAAAGATAGCTTCCGAAACCTTCTCCAAACACTTGACAAAAGACAGCAGATTCCCTCTTGTACATTTTTCAGCCAAGTCACTATACCAGAACTGTATGCTTCATGTAGAAACAAAGTTGAAATGAAGCTGAGAAATGTGGAGTATTACAGGACAGCTACAGATATGTGGTGGAGCCGAACAACTGAACCTTAATAAGCCTCACTATTCACTATTTTGAATTAAAGAGTCGTTGTCTATAAACGTTGTGCCTCTCCTTTTGACCATTCGGTAAAAACATTGCTAATGGAATGAAAGATGAGTTGGCCATCTGGGGTCTGAATGAACAGGGACAAGTGTGCATTGCCACAGATAATGCCTCCAACATGATTAAGGCAGCTGAAATAAACAAGTGGACCAGGCTAAAGTGTTCTGGCCACAGACTCCATCTTGCGATAATCACGTTTTGATTATACTGACTTGAACTGGTTCTGGAGTAAAGTAAGGCCTTCACTCACATGCTGTCTGCTGACAGGAAATCACACCACCTAGTGCTCACCTGGCAAGACACAGAGGTGCTAAAGTCACTTCACAGGCCACTGCATCCTTTTCAGGAATTTTCTGATGCACTCTGAGGAGATGAATATGGCAGCATTTCATATCTGATGTCAGTCAAGACAAAAACACTTGCAGAAGACACAGACCTCACAAAGTCATTGGCTACCTCCAGGAAAAATACAACGATCTTGCCACCCAAGCACTGCTTGACATTGCATCATTCTTAGACCACCAATTCAAGACTAACCATATCAGTCAAGAGAATATTCATGCCATTAAAGCAAGAATGAAGACCGAGATGTAAGAACGAGCAAGGAAGGTAAATAGATGGTTAGGATTGTCATTAGTTTGTAGGAGATAATGCATTCTACATGAGTAGCATTACCAGTTACAGTTATTAATAATAAAATATGCATTTTTTCAAAATTAATCAAATTAGAAAAAAACTGACTCTAATTTGCTGACTGTTACAGGTGATCACATATCACTGCTGAACCACGTTCAGCAGCCTCACTTGGCCTCTTCTTCAGGAGTACTGCCATATCACCAGACTGCTCAGCTTGATGATATCCTGGAAACAGAGCTGAACAGCTACCTGATAACACCCACCATTAATAGAGAAGAAGACTAATTAATAGAGAAGGTTTGGCGGAAACTTCGCCAAGTGAACTTTCCAAGATTGAGCAGGCAGGGCTGCAGATATCTGTGTGTACCAGCCACACATTCGCTCTTAGCAATTGCAATTAGATAATTTCCCCAAATCGTTCAGCCCTACTGTGAAGAGTCAGACGTTAAAACGGGGAGATTATGCAGACAGTACAGTGCTGACAGGCTGCTAGAAGAATAATTCTGGTGTTGAATTCCAACATTTGATTTGGATCATCGTAAAAATGCGAACTGGGTGTTCACTTGGAAGTGGACTGAGACCCACAATTTTTGCCGGACCATGGTTCTGTTGTTTGGTTTGGACTCAAGTACTCAAGTGGAATATTCACACCTGTCAGAATGGGCCGAACAAAAGAAAAAAATTCTATATTTTTCTATATTTCTATATTTTTTCATTGGGTGAAATAGTAAAAACAGAAAAAAATCAAAACATAGACAGATGTCAATATTGCTTTCTAACCCTAATGCGATAAAGCTGAGTGTGGCAAAAACAAGCCTGGCAAAACGGGTGAATGTTGTTTCATGTCTGAAAGTAATTTGTCTCAAATGCATGTCTCTTACACACAAGCTTCTACAACTAACAGATGCTGCTGGAATTTAGTGAATACTACAAGCTGTTTACACTTTCGTCTGCTGACTGATTGAGGCACACCGTAGGTGATGCACATGGAAAGCTGGCTAGTCTCCATGCTAGGCTAATGGCTAACAGATACCTCAAAAGACTGGCTTTTCATTCCACTCTCTTTCTCCCTGTTAACTCAGTAGCTCAATTGCAATCTTATGTCTGCTCTTTGGACAATAAACTGGACTAACCTACCTCAGGCTAATACTATTAATATGCATGTTATTTTGGGAGTGGGATGTTTGTTTTCTTTGTGTGTATATATATATATATATATATATATATTAGATGGCAAATGCAAAATGAAGACAAATAGCTAAGGTTAGTGCTAGGAAGCAGAAAATCTTATTGCTGCCGTATAACTGTAGTAACTGCCTTCAAATCATTATTACAATGGAGAGGATGGATTGCTTGAACGACAGAAATGACGGAAATCCCAAATGGACAAAATGAATCATCATGTAGCCTTGAATCACAGGCAGGAAAGGAAGTATTTTTATTGACTTTTTACTCATTTATTTAAGTAGATGCAGGTGTGGTTGAACACTATAATCGCCTGAAATCTCTGAAGAATAGTTTTAAAATGACACTTAATGTTTATTATTTTGTAGCTAAACAGGTCAATGCTGGATGAGCCTTTTAGCAGCTGTAGTACACTCTGAAGAGCTCTGAGGATGAAATTAATTTGCCTCAATTATCCTCTCTTCGTCTCAGGCGTCCTTGAAGATATATAGAAAGTTTGGTAACCATGGCTTTGGATGGATGTGGACAGGTGTGCAAATTCATGCTCATCATTTTCAACATATTGTTTCTGGTAAGTAGCCTGTTAGCATTTTTTCCTCTGGAAATTTGTGTTGGCTTTGTTCGGACACTGTGGAAGTAAAAACAGAATGCTATGACATGCAAATCATTTTAACCCTATATTAAATAGAAAACAGTACAAAGACATACATATCAGATGTTGAAACTGAGAACTTTTATTATTTTTTGAAAAATATATGCCCATTTTGAATTTGATGATAGCAACACATTACAAAAAAGTTGGGACAGTAACAACAAAAGATTAGTATATTTGTGCAATGCTGAAAAACACATGGTGGAACATCTAGCAACTAATTAGGTTAATTGGCAACAGGTCAGTAACATGATTTGGTATATAAAGAGCATCCAGAGAGGCTGAGTCTTTCAGAAGTAAAGATGGGGAGGTGTTCACCATAATATCATTAGAAGTTTCAGAGAATCCAGAGAAATCTCTGTATGCAATGAACAAGGCTGATAACCAATCTTGGCCAGGCCGTGATCTTGGAGTCCTCAGGTGGCACTGCATTAAAAGCAGACACAATTCTGTAGCGGAAATCACTGCATAAGCTCAGCAAAATGTCTGGAAACCACTGTCTTTGAACACAGTTTGTCGCTGCATCCACAAGTGCAAGGTAAAATTCTGCCAAGCAAAGAAGAAACCTAATATAAACAGGATCCAGAAATGACGCCGCCTTCTATGGGCCTGGGCTCATTTAAGATGGGCTGAGACGAAATGGAAAAGTGTCCTGTGGTCCAACGAATCAAAATTTGAAATTCTTTTTGGAAATCATGGATACCGTGTCCTCTGGGCTAAAGAGGAGAGGGACCATTTCGCTTGTTATCAACACACATTTTAGTACAGTATTTAAGTTTTTAAAGTACTATACAAATATTATTATTATTTTTCAATGTTCTGGAAAAAAATGTAATTTTCATCACACTTTGTAATGCTGTAGATAAAACTAAATTTTGCAGTGTTTTAGAAACACATGGTGCAGGCAGACAGGCATACAGGGCTCTATTTAGCTGAATGTTCTGAAAACTCTTCCAACCCAGGTGTCCACAGTCAACTCATGCATGAAAGGTGGAATTAGAAATTCTCCAGTTTAAATAGGAACAGTGCGTAAATATTTAACCATAGATGGTTTAATTAAACTGTTTAAACTGTAACGTTGACATTGCATTGAAGTCTGTCAAATCATAGATCTGAACAGATCAGAAATATCATAATCACAGTACAACAAAAATCATCTCTATCTCTCTCTCACCTAGCTGGCTGGTCTTGTGATGTTTTGTGGGGGTTTATATCTGAGGTTCAGCGCTGAAGGACCATACAACATGGATTTAAAAACGAACCACTTCATTGTTGGTGAGTACTGTCAGTAAGTGTGGGTATCAGTTATTCTGGGAGAAACAAGGCTTTCTAAAGCCTGGAACCAATTAAACCAATCATTTCAAAAAATGATTCACTGTTTCAAAGCACAAGAAACACCACATGCTTGCACCATGTGCTGGTGAAATAGATGTATATACATTGTGAAACCCAAATGTATGAGCATACACTAATAAGCCAAAACATTATGGCAACTCACAGATGAAGTGAATAACGTTGAGTATATTGAAACAGTGGAAATGGGCTGGATGACTTTGATGAGGACCGAATCGTTTTGTTCAGTGGGTGCAAGCATCTCCAAAATGGCAAGGCTTGTGCGATGCTCCCAGTCAGCAATGGTGACTACCTACTGACAGTGGTCTGAGAAGAGACAAACCACAGACCGATGACAGGCTATTGCGTGCCCATTGTGTGGACAGCCGGCTATGTGGGCATCATTTACCTGGGGAAGTGATGGCACGGGATTCACAAAAAAATAAGCTAGTGGAGGAAATGTGATGCTCTGGGCGATGTTCTGCTTGAAACACCTGTGCTGGAGCAAGAAGTCCAGTACATGGTGGTCCCACCTCTGAGTTAAAGGGAGTAAAGGACTTAAAGGATCTGCTGCTAACATCTTGGTGCTAGAGACTACAGGGCACCTTCAAAAGTCTGCAGTCTGTACCTCAGTGAGTCAGAGCTGTGTTGGTGGCATGTGCAGGAACCACAACATGTTAGGCATAATGTTTTGGCTTATGGCTGTATATTTTCATAATTATTAGTTTTATTATTACATAATGAACTGCTACATGATTGCCCTAATATAACAACATCATGTGATCTACTAAAACTGGGGTTAAACTACCCTGATTTTAGCCCCCATTCTCAGTCTGGCTCAGTCTATGCTGGTTGACTCTAGTCTGCAGATTATTGGGCAGTCAGCATCAACAGTTGAGAAAGAAAATTGAGTAGTGTACAGACTCAGATTTTTTGTCTCCTCATCGCGTTTCAGACTAGTTGGAGTCAGCAACTCAAACTGAATGGACTTCTCCAACAGCCAGTGAAAACTGAGAGTGCATAGGTGGGGTGGTCATGTGTATAGACCTTTGTATAATATTTTCTTATCTTTCAGTCCTAATCCCTGTGCTAATTCTTGGCAAATGCACATATCAAAAATAAAACAATACAGAAAAAAATCTAATAAAAAATAATAAAAAGCAGCAATAAGTAGTTTAGGAAAGTCCAAAAGCATCAAGACACCCTTCTAATAGGTGAATTCAGCTACTTTAACTTTTACTTAACTTGCACACACACAGCTGGAGGCTGTTAATCTTCCCCTATTAATATCTTTGATTTCAGAAGAAACATTTGATAAACATGTATCTACAAACATATAGTGTACATTAATGTTCCAAAAATTACTAAATTAAAGTACTTTTGAACCGTTTCTATTGGTCCATTAACTGTGAAATGCTTGCACAGTGTTGTAAAGGATAGCTGGCAATTTTGAATAAGACAATTTTGAAAATGACACATTTTCAAAAGCAGCAGGTTGCTTTATGCTCAAGCCTCATTTAAAACCAAATTGGTAAAGCACAGTATTCCTCTTTTCTAGACTCTTTTCTTGAACTTTGTAATGGTGCTGTGCCTCATACATCTCTTAATTTACCTGTGTTGTCTGCTAAATAAAGTTCCGGTTATTTATGTAAGTTCTGATTGGTTATTTTTGAGGCTTTAAGATTAGGAGCCTAGGAAGTAGGAAGTGAAACTTTACTCTGTGTTTTGCTGAATTATGGCCAGCTAGCCACATATCTCTGAAAGTGAAGGACATTGGTTTCGATTATGTGTCAGACTATTAATTTCCCTGTATTTTTTTCTCTCTCAGTGGTATCAGTGCTGATAGTGGTTGGAGCTGTGCTTCTGCTCACTGCAAGTGCAGGAGATTGTGGCTCCTGCAGTGAAAATAAAACAGCACTGGGTGTGGTGAGGAAACACACGCATACCTTCATACACACATGGCACACCTACACACTGCTAATGGAGGAAAATATGCATCCTCTCACATGCATTACCTCACCCTCCGATGGGGAAAAAGAAAGTAAAACTGAGTTCTAACCTGAGCATCTGCCCAATACAGTATGTACCATACTTACTGGAGGATAGCTGTGTCATGACTTGATTGGACATAATATTTCGATTCTGAGGTTTAGGCCCAATTTGATCTTTGATAAGAAAATAACCGTACCAGATGTACAACAGATATTTTTGTAAATACGTAGAGAAAATTTGTTTTAAAAACAAGCACAATAATAATGAATGAATAAATAATGATGTTTTGATTAATGTTTACCTTAAAATTTGTTTACAAAATCCCTACAATGATACTGTGAACAATAAATAAAATAAATAATGGCATGGCTCTGGCATATCTTACCAATCTGAAGCATTGTAGCCCATCCAGACCACTTTGCCTAGGGGCTGAGACGGGCTAACTGCAAACCTCTAAGACAGGGGTGGGCAACATGCAGCTCTTTTACTGCCCTGTTGTGGCACCATAGTGGTATTAGATTTTTAGGCAATAACAAAATAATCCTTGTTTGCATTCTACCACACAGTTCTAACACAGTTAACAATAAATTATAAACATTAACAATAAATGGTTTTAACCACTGTAAGTAATGTACAGCTGCTAATTTACCAACCTTTAACCCTAAATTGGCGCGCAGCCTACTTGTCACCATAGCACCGCAGACTAGCCATCTCACCTAGCTAGTAACTAATGAAAAGGCAAAGAAAAGAAAGATAATTACAAGACGAACATTGATAATTTAGGGACAAATAGACAGACTTGTTTGTATTTACAAGCACTCCAGCTGGTTTCCTGATACGTTCAATCTGCAGCGAGAAACTATCCAACAACAAAAAGTTGCAAAGCTAAATTCAGCTTGTCATTTGCCAGCTGCTTGTTAGAATTTTCCCTTTCCACAGCAGTTACATTCTGGCCCCTCAGCTGCCATTTAAGATGGAATGAAAAAAAGCTGGCGAATGACAAGCTGACTTCAGCCTTGTAAAAAGTCAAATGTTATATATAAATATATCTATATATAATATATAACAATATTTAACACGGAAAAGTTTCCTGCCATAGATGCATGAAAAGTGGCTATAGCTGAGCTAAAGCTTAAAGCAGAGCAAAGTGAGTCTGCATTTTATTTTATTTTATATTTTTTACTCTATATTAGCACATTAGCATACAAAGACATAGACAGAATGGTAAAACATTATTTTAGTAAAATGGACATAAAATGTTGTGGCTCCCAAGGTGGTTTGATTTTTGATGAAAAGGACAAAATCGCTCTTCTTAACATTTTGGTTGCCGACTCCTGCCCTAAGATAACATACAGCTCAGCTGATGGAAGATCTTTTTCTTACGTAGCTTCTAAACTTTGAATAGCCATTCACATGATGTTGGAAATGCACGCATGAGTTACCAGTTACTCTAATTTAGAATCAGAGTGTAACGTGACAGAATGACGCAGACACTCGCAGATAAAAGGTGAATGAGAGGCTTTACTAGTGCAAACAGAATCCACAATCATCGTCAGGTCACAGGCAATGGTCAAATCCAAAAAAGACAGTAAACACAAAAGCACAAACATAACCAGGCAAAAATTCCAAAAGGGATCAGGCAAAAGACAGGTCAAAAAACAAGGCAAAACAAGTCAGAACAGGAATAAACAGTCAGAAATAACGCTCAGTAGCTCTGTGAAAAACAGCAATACCTCGCAATGAGACAAGCCCGGGCTTTAAACTAAATTAATCAAAGAAGAACAGGTGTGTCTGATCGATACTCTGGGGAACTGGAGCGCTGATTGTTGCATGAGAGAGTTCAGAGCGAAGGGAGTCGTGACATAGAGCTACCAGTAATGCCTAGTTAGACTCAGAATTATCAATAATGCCCAACTAGAGCCAAAGTTACCAAAAACGCAGTTACGTTATGATCACTTCCAGTTAGAGTCAAGTTACCAATCATGCCCTGAGTCAAAGTTATCGATAACTCCCTGTATGAGACTCAGAGTTTCTAGTCACACCCAGTTAAAATCAGAATTACTGATAACGACCCGCAGGAATCAGAGTTACTGATTACACCCAGCTTGGAGTCAAAATTACTATTAACGCCCAGCTAGTGTCAGAATTACCACTAATGCCCAGCTAGAGTCAGAGTAACTGATAACATCAGGTTAGTCTGGTTACTAATAACGCCCATTTAGTAGTCAGGCTACCAATGCTACCAATGCCCAGTTAGAGTCAGGTTACCTATCATGCACAGAGTCAAGAGTTACTTATGATGCCTAGTTAGAGTCATAGTAAACAAAAATGCCCAGTTAGAGACAGTTATTGATAATGCCCAGCTGCTAAATGTATGATCATAATGCTGTGACTGGATGCATGGGTGGAAGATGGATAGAAATAGAGATGATTCCTTCTGTTTTTCTTCTCTCCAGTACACCAGCCTGCTGACCTGTCTAGCTATACTGGCCGTCATTGCTGGTGTCCTGTCCTTCACTAACATCAGAGAGGTATCTCTCTCACACACACACATATGCAAAAGTGTGTGAGATAGGAAGGGGTGGAATGCTTTCAATTTTATAGTACCTTTAATACAGCATCATAATACGTGTACTTTTGGCTATAGTATAGTTATTGTATGAACGTCTAGAGTTGTTTTTTAATTTTACCTAAAGTTGTTTGAGCTCTCACTGACATTTTGTGCACTCTTTTTTGTTGGATTTTGTTGGATGTTGGTCTTTGCTCTATTCTTTACATGTGCTTTTGCTGTTTTTCAGTTTTCTAGCCACTTAGGTGAATTTTACGCCACCGTTTACGCCCAGTATCTGATTAAGAAAGACTGGATCCGCTCCATCATCCTCAAACTGTTCCATAACACTGTACGAGCTTTACACTCATTTACTTATCCATGATGTAGTGGTAGTGTGTATCACAGACTCTCTGTGCAAATTGTTTACACATATAGTGTGTGTGTTTAAAAGCTAAGAGCCTCACTGGGCTTGTTTGTTTTCCTTCAGTTTGACTGCTGTGGATTAGGAGGCACTGTGCAGACAATCCTGCAGGAGACTGATACCTGTCCTCAGAGGTACTCACTGCTGGGAATATCCATATCCACCTCCACTGTGAGTCACATGCATAAACATGGACATTCCCATATCTCTGCATAATAGAGTTGTCAACTGAGCTTAGAAATTAAATTAGAATTTTACTCTAGTTTACCAGGTATCAAAATAACTTATTTTACAAGAAGATAAGTAAATGTCAGACTTTTTGTCTTTACGTCTGACTCTTGATGGAAACTCTTTCTTGCTGCACAGGCTGCTGGTGAAAACACAATATGATCAATACAATCATAGCAAAGCAATGCATGTGATTTTGCCACATGGATTGTGGAATGTATTTTTGGTCATATTTTGGCCAGCATACTTTGGCCATTGGTTAAATTGAAACTGATAAACCATTCAGTTGTAAAGGTTTGATTGTGATGCACATATGTTAAGCATTTGTATTTTGATACAAAGTTGGGGTAGGATAATACACTTATATCACACATGTATGTGAGGGATAAATCTGGATGTCATACAGTAATAGGTGAGTAAAAGTCAAAAATAACTCTCACAAGAGTCATTTGGTGCACTTTAGCCATTTCAGTGTGAAACCAACTCAATCAAATGAAAAAAATACAATGTTACAAAAACCCAAACTCTGGTTCAGACTTATAACTCAAGCTAGGTGTGAAAACAGCCTAAGACAATGTTATGTTTGCTAAATTCATGAGTGGTCACTCAAATATCAAACATCCCCAAAAGTGCAGAATCAGAGGCTCTGATTGGTCAGAACAGGCAAGCTCTTCATTTTGAAAAAGAACAGTTTAGTCAACATAAAAGGTGACTGCACTCCTGATTCTGGTTGTAGCGCTCGCTCTCTTTCTCTCCCCACACCTCTCTTTTCTTCTCTGTCTATTAGTCTTACTCTGTGTATCTCAGGTTTCATTTAGGCAGTATTCTGCTGTGTTTGTTTTATTTACAATATTTACTTATTTACTTTTGCATAGCCTCATCATATTATTCACTCAATTGTAACACATATTGTATTTTATTGATTATGTACTATTAATCTTTCTCTGCAGTAGGGTTGGGCTGAGAGACAATGCCATCATCCATTGTTGATGGCTGACAGAAATCATAATGTAAAGCCAGCATTGCAATGCCGCACTCCCCTAGTCCTCAACCCCCAGTGCTTGCCAACAGCAGGGACACATAAGGCAGAGGATAACGTTACACTGATTACACACTGATTTTATTTACATTTTTAAATCGTGTTTACACTGAGACTCAGGGACAGAGAACCATAAAATATTCCCTTTTCACAACAGTGCCTAATGAAATCTGTTTTTTAAACCAGCGTTTTAATTATGCTCCTTGTATTTTCACCATGGTAGCTATGTTAGCATCAAGCTAGCAGGGTTAGCTTGGTGCTATTTGGGATTTTTATGTCAGTTAAATTCAGACATTTTAAATACAGACTCATTAGCTAGTAACGAGCATATAAGTAACATTCTTTACTTTGTATGTCTGTAAGTAATGCTTTATTTAAGGGCTTCCACTTGGAGTCTGTCTTTTGTTATTGTGATGTTAGCCTGTCAGCCAGCTAGCTAGCTTTTGTGTTACCTGTTCAACCTACTAGTGAGGGCAGAATATAGTCAGTTAAAGAGTGAAAAAAATGCAAGTCTTTTAGAACCAAACAGTGATGTTCAGCTGGCAGTTTATTATCTGGTTCCATTTAATAAGCACATGTTTCAATGCTACCAACTGAGCTTTTTCAAGGAGTTATTACAGTCTCATGTCTACTGAAGCTCTGCGCAGCCCCCCCATCATCTATCACAGTGTCATATGCCAGTTAAGAAGACATCACCCAAACCACCCACCTGCAGGCCATCTAGAGGCAAAATTCACTCTGATATACATTAATAATATATAATAGTAATAATAATAAATAATACATACTTTTTCAATAACTCTGTTATCAGATTAATAGGACACTTTGGCTCTCTGTGAGTGAAATATGTGCTCTGTGTTGGGCTGCTAGTGAGCAACGAGTGATGAAAGGGGAGGGGTGAGAGCTTCCTAATGTGAAAACAAATCACACCTCTCCACAAAGCCTTTTTCATATCAAAACATCATGTACAACTGCCACAATCGAAACTTTTATAAATGCTGGCATGTTCACAAAGATAAAAAGCAAGTTTGCTTCTGGTTTCCAACATTTCCATCAAAACATGTTCCATTACCTTTACTGAAAAAAAAATGCATATTTAAACTGAGGGACCTCCAAAACAGCCAGAATTCATATTTTATGGCTACTCTGAAAAGGGGTAAATAAACTCATTTGTGCTACCTTGAATTAGCGTGAAGCTTAACCTACTGTACTCTAGTGCTTAATGTAATAGACGGTAATTAAAAGTATAACATCACAGAGACTCTTAATGCCCTCCTACTTCATATTAACAGTTTTCTGTCTTTCACAGTTGTGGTCATGTCAGTGTGAGATCATAACCCCACAGTTGGCCTATTTTTGAGTTGACGGAAACGAAGACTAAATTAACACGAGTAGATGTAATTATGTGTTGAGTGTCCACATATGCTTATCAGCATAAGCACAGGGTGTATTTCTGTAACTTTTACTGTTAAAAGTAGACGTATCGCTTTGTTCAGAGTTGCTTAGTTGGACCTGTGGGACGTTAACAAATAACTTGGCCTGAAACATGCCAGGGGCCTGTCACAGTTCCTGACGAAGTTTCACAAAACCAAACAGAAAGTCACCAGAGGGTTCCACCTCCGTCATAAGTTCGGCCTTGGTTGGTTCAAGAGATGTTTATGAGCCAAACGCTGAATTTAAGCAGCTCTTATGTAGGTTAGACGTGCAGCATAAGTTGCTGTAGAAATTTAGCCTGAGAGAATAATCCTGCGTTGTGAGACAGAAAATGCAGGGTTAGATCAAACTAAACTTAAAATTAGCTGGCTAAGCTAATTTTTATTGAATTCAACAGATATTCGAATGTCAAATTTTATTTCCACAGCTTTACTGTGTAGCTGTTTAAAGATGTCAACAAAATCTCTAACCCTATCCATAAATTCTTATTATCTATTGTCCACCGACCCACCCATTTTTATGTGTGTCTGTGCATACAGAGCTGCGTGACTGCGATCCTGGTTGACCTGCAGGCATCCACAGTTCTGGGAGTATTTCTGGGCATTGCTGGTGCCATGGTGAGTAACACAAACACACAGCGGTAGCCATTCCATTTTTCTTTGTACAGTTGGACAGGGATCAAAAGTTCTATGCCCCTTCAGTGTTTACTCACAAGTCACTTTATTTAGAGTGGAATAATTTGGAAAACATCTTGCTTAGTTTACTGACTTTGCTACAGTCTCAGGTACCTGCAATGTAAGTCAGCCCCACTGTTTAAAGTGAACTATAGAATTTCATGCAAATGTGCAATATGTCCAGATGATTATTTTGAATGGTGATCTGTGGCATTCAAGCATGCGTTTCCATCTACTGTACTGTGCAAAAATCAGAGACTACCCTTTCGTTTATTTAATTTTTAGCCAAAACAGCCATTAAGTACAAGTCAATAATTTTTCATTGTCAGAATAAAAAGCAGGAAATTGAATTAATCCACTCTTTACTTTTATGCACCTACTGGCACTTTCACTCTCCCATCCTTCCAGTCTACGACTTACAGCTCTGCCCTCCAAACAAAAGCTGTTACCAAAGGTGTCATTATGTTACTGACATTGGGTTTCATTCACCAATATCGTCTTAAGTTTTTTCTTGTTTTTTTTTCTTGAGAAAGGTCCTAAGAAAAAGTCTACATCAGATTCATTAGGTGTTCTTAACCTGCACTATTGTTCCTCTGTACCTCTGTGCTCTTGAGGGTGCAGACATTTTGTTTTTAACCTATGAACAAACCCCAAATAAGAAAACATTGATAAATGTCAGAACCTTTGTGAAACTTGTGTAAGTGGGTTTTAAGAAGACATTTCTTGTTAATAAATGAGGCCCATTGTTACCCTTCAAATAGATATCAATATTCTCAACTATCCAAACATACCTTGCAAATTATGAGAAAATCAGGTTCAGAGCTGAAAAAATCCACAGCTGTGAGAGCTCAACGCTATGGGTCTGTGTAGCTGTCAAGAAGCTGTTGCTGACAATCATATTCAAAGCAACCATATGTACTAGAATACCTAAATTGGACATCTGAGAAGTGGAGGAAGGTTTATGGACTCTAGCATGTGTTTAGAATTATTTGGATTGTGAGAAGCAGAAAATGCAACCAACTTCTTGGAGTGAAATTTTGAGATTTATTTGAAAAACTGAAGGCAAGTCTCCTGATAATAATTGTTGTAGTAAACAATTTGTTGTAGTAAAAGTTATAGTAAAGGCAAAGAGAGGACACATTGAATAAAATTGTCTATTATATTTATTTGTTAAAATTCTGTGTAATTTCCTGTTCAATGTATGTGTTCTGCTCTTTATCCTAATGCTGAAAAATGAATAACTTTAATGGCTGTTTTGACACAAAATTTAATAAATGATGAGTGGTCTCTGACTTCTGCACAGTACTGTGGTCCCAGTTTGCAATTACTGTTATAGCAGTTCCCTAGTGATCCCTAGTGATCATCAGTCCATGCTAATGTGGTAAACCCTCAGTGCTTGTACCCTTAAATGTATGACAGCATGTATAAGGAGCTGTAAAATAAATTTCCAGGCCATTTTTTGCACGACAATGCTAAAATTCATGCTTTCTGTTTCTCCTCCCCCTCTCTGTTTAGATTGTGGCTGTAGTGTGCGCTTCTGTCATCTGGCACCAATCCTCTCACTCCATCTCTTCACCTCCCCCCTACGTCATTCTCTCTTCCTCCATTCCTCTCACTCCCTCCCCTTATCACTCCTCTTCTTCCCCTCTCACTGACAGCGCTGAAGATGTCTGACTTACTAGATCTTTCCAACCTAAAGCCACTCTCCCACTCACTCGTTTAATCTACACTCTGTCCACCTCAGGCTTTGCTTTCATTGTGCTGGTGATATCATCCCTGTGGAGCACTGGACTAGTTGTAGGCTGTGTCTGAATAGTTCCTGTCTGCTTTCCTTGATTTTGCTTGATTAGTCAGCTCTGCCAGTATATTTAGTTAGGCCATGGACTACAGATCAGGCAAAATCAAGGAGAGCAGATAGGAAAGTAGACGCAGCTGTAGAACCGCACTGTTCTCTCTTTTTTATACCACTTAACCTTGAACTAATTTCTTTAACAATAAACTACTAAAACAAACCTTCAACTTTGACCAGAAATTACTAAAACATCTTTAACCAAAAAGTACTAATACGCTTTTAACTTTAACAAAATAACTACTAACAATCTTTAAATGGTACATATTCTACATGCTTGTATTTTTTGTTTTCCCCCACAGGTCCACTTGGAATTTTTGTAGGGCTCAAATAAAAGTGTTTTCAATGAATCAGCTGAGTAATTAATTGGCAATTTAAATGATAAACAGGTTTCTGCAGGCTCATTATCCTCTTTATGAGGATTCTTCATAATGATGAACTATTAGCACTCGAGGCACTTTTATGTGCGTCACTGAATTTTTTACAAACTGCACATGTGTAAAATAAACGTAAATGTTTGCTGTTACACATTGCCTATGTAGGACAGTAAAAATGTACTTTTTTTTTTAAAATAGGACTAGACTGAACATCTACTCCAAAAATATTCATTTAGCTTTTACCGAAGCTGAAGTAAAATGGCAAAATACAAAGAATATTCCTGTTACAAACATCAGATGTTTTAAATGTCTGTTTTTATTTAGAGATGGCCTGTGCAATATTAAACTCTGTGTGAGAGGTCTGTATACACCACTTTTAGCTTGACTCTAAAATAATATTGAATAGTGGCTTTTGAAATTAGCATTATTTTGTGTTAAATAAACTAACTGCTAGACGGTTGTGCTACTTTATAAATAGTTTCTGCATTGAATACTACTATATAAAGTAATGTTTATTTAAATTTGCTGATCCCTGCAAAAATTAAGAATGTATTTTAATTGTGCCTTATTCAAAAGCCACTCAGAGCTGAAACACTCATTGTAACTTATAACGTGAATGGGTGGTGCAACCTTTAGACCTCTCACAAACCTATTACTTTTATCTCTCTCTCTCACACTCTCTCTTAGCTGGTGGCAGTGGGCTGCAGTATTCTGATGTACAACAGTGTAAAGAAGAGCACGCACTATTCACACCCGATTTCCTACTACTGACCTTCTGCTGAAAATCAGGGCTGCATGACGCCTCCACGCTTCTTCTCTTGCTCTTCTTTCTCCTTGTCTTTCTTCTCTTAGAAGTACACCAAGCAGCATGATCCCAATGTGCCAAAAATTGCAGCTGAGGAGGACTTTGTTGTACATTACACTTACATTCCTAACTGAAGTACACCTGCCTGCTGGTTCTGCATCTGCAGTTACTCTTAAGGATGCATAGTACTTAAAAAGTTAATTTTTGGAAACATTTTCATTTCATTTTTGTTTATTTTAAATACTTGTTTTTATTTCTAGTAGCATTACTGCTTTAAAGTTAGAAAAGCAGATATGTATTTCAAAAATTCAAAGTAATATTCTGCTGTTTCAAAAGCAGTAGCTTCAGAAATGGTCTGTTTGTAAGCAACCCAAGAAATTGGTTTTGGAATTAAATGTATAAAGTGATGTTTCCTTAAGGTGTTAATCAGAATTCATCATCTGAGCCATTGTGTGTTTGTGCTCTTTGTTAAAAGAATAAATATTTGTGTGGCTTTTCATGATATCCTGGGCCTTTTTGTGGGGCGGGGGGTGGGGGTGGGGCATGTGAGGTCAGTCAGGAGTTAATATCACTTATACTGCTATTTTTATTCAACATATCCTCAGGAAACAGCACATATTAGCCACAATAATGCTTCAACAGCTAACTAGTACTCAGTCTTGCAAAACCTAATTTTATCATCAAATACATACTAGCTAACTAATTTCTAGTGATGTTTACAGCTAGCAGCTCATTTTATAACCTTATATGCTAAATGAATAGATGTAATATCAAAAAAACATTATACAGTTTGTTATATACAGTTTGTGGTAGCCTGTTTGCCTTAGCAGGTAAAGCTGTTTTATTGAAAAGTCATGTTTATTTCTGTAGCACATTTAAAAGACGTGTTGGCCAAAGTGCTGCACAATAATGTCAACTAAAAATAACCACTACTGGCTTGTCAGAACTGCACAATACATCCAACAAGGAAAATAGCATGCATATAAAAACAAATCAAATGGAAAAAAAAAACAAAGTAAAAGAGCTACTGATGGCAAGACAGAAACAGACTTAGGACAGATAACTGAATACATAGTCATTAAAAGGACTTGAATGGGTTTTAAAATTGGACTTTAAAACATCCTAGTGAATAAATTTATGAATGAATAAATTAATTCAAACTGGACCTAAAGTAAACTCAATCTAAAGTGCTTCTTGATTATAGCACTGCATTTAAATCTGCACCCCAGCCAACCAACCCTGAAATTACTGAGATCTGCTCTTTAAATACTCTTTAAATACTGCTACTTTAAATTACACTTATCAACTCATCATCTCATCATCTAAGCTGCTTATCCTCCAGGGGAGCTGGAGCCTATCCCAGCACTCAGTCAGCAAAAGGCAGGAGACACCCTGGACAGGTCACCAGTCCATCACAGGGCAGAACGTATTAACTTAGTAATTATTATTTCAGTAAATTCACAATTATCAACTATACATTTTGTCTAGCTTAAAATATGTATTTGATAAACATGTATTGAATTTACCATTATTTACACTAAAACGTTAACTACACTAAAATACAAAAGATAACCAGGGACACTCCCCCCAGAGTGGAAAATTTCAAGGTTCTAAGAAGGGCGCGAACTAGAGACTAAAACTCCCAACAACCCCAGGTGTTTGAGTCCTTAGACTCCCAGAACAGCTGCCAGCATGCTAGATTAAAGCAGGTAAGTGAAATCCAATTAACAAAATACCCTTTTAAAAAGAGTTATTACAACATACAATGCATATATAATGATCATATCCTTGGGATATGCATATACAGTAATCATAGCCCTTGGAAATCATCTACATATCCAGTTGGCCACCCTGAATGATGTATTTGGTTGCAGAGTTCCTGATACGGGTGTATATATAGTGTGTGGAGTTGAAATAAGAGTCTTTAAAACCAAATTGTCTGTGTTTGTTTTTCCTTGATTTATTGTTTGTAAATGTTACATTAATTTATATTGACATTAAAGAATATTTTTGCTTTATCATATAAACTTACAATTTTGGAGATACTTTTTTTTTTTGGACAGCTGCAACATGCTGGTGATCTGCATACCAACTTCCATTGCTGCTAACCAGCATCCAACACACAATGTATGCTGGTTTTGCGGCATATGCCATGCTGGTCCATGCTGGTTTTTGTAGCAAGGATGGTGAGGGCATGTTGATGGCAGGTTGAAATAAAGTGATGAGTAACACACTAATCACTGAATGGATTCTCATTCTTGTACACTGAACTGTAAATAATTAAAGTGAAGGGAGTCTATCTGGAAGCAGCATGTCCAGAAACAGCTATTATTTCAGGTATTTTTTTATAAAACATTTCATGTTAGAATATGTGCATGTGCAATGCTAGAGTATGTTTTCGTAATTTTGTGGACACTTTCATGACATTTTTATGCTGAAGAAACATGATTGTAAAACACGGGGCCATGAGGACAGAAGGTTGTGTCCTAGACATTTTAGCAAATATCATAACCCTTCCCTTAGCACATAGTGAAAGCAAATTAATTACACCAATGGTAAAGTCATTTGGAAATATGTTCAATTAACCCACATTTTATTTCTGCTACATTTGTGTTTAAAAAATAGCCATAAATAAGGACAAAACCATTGGTTGTCAACTAATAAACTAACTAGCTAGCTAGCTTTAACCAATGTAATCTTTGCTGACTTTAGAATAGCTCTGTCGTTGCCAGCAAAACTAGCCACACCACGTACAACTGTTTTGTTGTACTTTGGGTTTTTTTTTAAACAAAAAGAAATTAACAATTAACAACAGAATGACTATAAAACCTTTATTTAAGGTTTACTTTAAATTATGTAATTGCTCCACGCTCCAAAAGCATGCAGTACCAAGTCTGTGCACCAGTGGGCAGCACTGATACACAACCCACATCCTGTTTCCCCTACTGGAGCCTCTGGGTAACATAAGCACAGTCAGGAAACCCTCTACACACACACAGACACGCACACTGTGTTCCTGGATACATAATAAGTGCTGTTCATTATAAAGAACAAGATAATAAGACTGAGAGCAGCGGCAAGAAGGGAGGCAGTGGATGTGTGTGTGTGTGTAGGTTCTCTTCTCTACGCAATGTAGTTTAAAGCTCCCTACAAGCATTTAAACAGATTTTCTGTGAATTGTCTATCTGGTCCTGTGTCTTAGAAAATGCGTAATAGAGTGAGTGTCAGGAGTGAGAGACATGGAGAGTGAGTGAGAGAGGTGGAGATGAAGATGGAGGGAGGGGTTGGAGGCAGTAGTTGGTGACTCATATCATTTTGAGTTGCCTAGCGACAGGAGGAGTTGTTTTCAACATTTAAAGCAAAATATGAACGTCTGGATTTCATTGAAAATGAGAGAGAGAGAGGAAGAGAGAGAGAGAGGGAGAGTGTGTGCGTGTGTGTGTCTATGTGTGTATGTATGTGAGGGAGGGAGGAGTGCGTGCATGAACTCAGAAGTGTAATGTTAGAGCTGAGAAGGGATAGAGGCATTCTTCACCTTCACGGTAGCACACAACTGGACTGGAATGTAAACACCACATAATCTCACTTCCGGTTGGTCACATGAGCGCTTTCAGCCTTAAGCATGGTGCCATGTTACACCGATTTAACACAACTTCCAGTAAAGAGACACTCACACGCACACAGACAATCACACAGTCCAGAAGAGAACAGAACAGAGAGAACAAGTTCAGGAACACACCCATCTGTTTGTGTATGTGTGTGTGTGTGTGTGTGTGTGCGCAAATATAAGTGAGGTTTTTTTCCCCTCAGATTACTCATCCCATCTTCAGTGATGTTCTCCATACTGACCCTCACTGCTCTCATCCTGCAGTTTTATACAGTTATAGTTTATAAATATTTAAACTCTACATTTATAGTATATGTATGTTTATACCTTTCACAAATGTATACAGTTTATACAATTATACAGTTATACAGTTATGCAGGCTTTAGCATTAGAAAACAGCCTCTCAGTAAGCCTTGTTATTTATATTAATCTTAACTGATAGTGTAACTGACATGGCTCCAGATTCATTATTGTTCCTATTATTATTATTATTAGGTGACAATAGTTATTATTAGATATTGAAATACACTCATTTACGTGCAATCTACAAGGTAATTGGTATTTCTACACCACTCAAATGTGGTCCACCCAATATTTTTCCACAAGAACAACCTCACCATTGTCCCAATCTAATCTATTAGTTTTATCTAGTCACATTTTGAATGTTTGCAGCGCTCTATCACAAGAATTAGCCAGGCCTTTTAAAACATAATCATTGGGTGGACCACTGTCTTAAGTGAAAAATATGGACTGTCCAATAGGAACACTCTGAGAAACGTGTGTTGTGTGAAAGACTCTACTGACCACAGTGGAAGCCAATCAGATTCCACTACACAGCCAATCAGATTTTACTGCTCAGACAGTCACAATCCACTGACTGCAGCCAATCAGATTCCACTGCACAGCCAGTCAGATTTGACTGACAGCAGCCCCTCTTATTCCTAACTACATACTAACTACATCCTTTCAGATTCCACTGACCACAGCCAATCAGATTCCATTCTGTGGCCTGCCACATTTCACTGTCCACAGCCAATCAGATTCCACAGTCCACAGCCAAATTACACTAATCAGCATGTCTTGTTGACCAAACGTCCTCATATGAACAGAAATACTGATAAACAGATGTTTGTTAAAGCCTTTCTGCTTTATTTTCATTTGCTTTATAAAAATGTTGCTTTTCCAAAAAAGCTAAATGAACATTTCTCCTTATTTTCTTCTACATAACTCCCAAATGATTAGAGTTAATTTTAAAGTTAGAGTTATTAACACTAGAGTCAGTGTAAGCTCACAGACATATTATTAATGTGTGTGCATTGAGGCAGGGCAGGGAGGTGCAGATGAAAACTCTTGTGAGTGAAATCTTGTCTGACGGGATTTGAAATTCTTTTCCTCTCTCATCATTTGGGTGTGTACTACGGTGACATGTGTCTCACATCATGTGCGTGTGCATGTGTATCAGCCCTGTTTAAAGATTTTTATGTTGAAACATAATTATCCGTCTGTGTTCTGGAATTCAGAGCTCTTTCACCATGCTGCAGAAACTTAAAGATGCTCTGGAGCTTTGAA